GTACATAGTTATGATGAGCAAGAGAGCCTCTTCTAAAATAATGAATTTCATGGCCCCAGGGTCAGGGGTTCTGGTGTTAGGACGGGGCTCTATTGATTATATAGTGAAAATGCATTAATTCTTTGAAAATCTTCTCCTGTGCTCCTGGGTATTAAATAAAGTAACTAAGTACATAGTTATGATGAGCAAGAGTATTTCTTCCAAAATTGTGAAATTCATGGCCCCAGGATCAGGGGTTCTGGCCCCAGGGTGGGGCTATATACATCATATAGTGAAAGTGCATTATTTCTTTGAAAATCTTCTTCTGTGCTCCTGGGTATTAAATAAAGTAACTAAGTACATAGTTATGAAGAGCAAGATTGCCTCTTCCAAAATTGTGAAATTCATGGTCCCAGGGTCAGGGGTTCTGGTGTTAGGGCAGGGCTCTGTTGATTATATAGTGAAAATGCATTAATTCTTTGAAAATCTTCTTCTGTGCTCCTGGGTATTAAACAAAGTAACTAAGTACATAGTTATGATGAGCAAGAGAGCCTCTTCTAAAATTGTGAATTTCATGGCCCCAGGATCAGGGGTTCCGGTGTTAGGGCAGGGCTCTATTGATTATATAGTGAAAATGCATTATTTTTTTTGAAAATCTTCTTCTCTGCTCCAGGGTATTGAATAAAGTAACTAAAAACATAGTTATGATGAGCAAGAGAGCCTCTTCCAAAATTGTGAAATTCATGGCCCCAGGGTCAGGGATTCTGGCCCCAGGGTGGGGCTCTATAGATTATATAGTGAAAAAAGCTTAAATTCTTTGAAAATCTTCTTCTCTGCTGCTGGGTATTAAATAAAGTAACTAAGTACATAGTTATGATGAATAAAAGTGCCTTTTCATAAACTGTGAATTTCATGGCCCCAGGGTCAGGGGTTCTGATGTTAGGGCGGGGCTCTATTGACTATATAGTGAAAATGCATTAATTCTTTGAAAATCTTCTTCTGTGCTCCTGGGTATTAAACAAAGTAACTAAGTACATAGTTATGATGAGCAAGAGAGCCTCTTCTAAAATTGTGAATTTCATGGCCCCAGGATCAGGGGTTCCGGTGTTAGGGCAGGGCTCTATTGATTATATAGTGAAAATGCATTATTTTTTTTGAAAATCTTCTTCTCTGCTCCAGGGTATTGAATAAAGTAACTAAAAACATAGTTATGATGAGCAAGAGAGCCTCTTCCAAAATTGTGAAATTCATGGCCCCAGGGTCAGGGATTCTGGCCCCAGGGTGGGGCTCTATAGATTATATAGTGAAAAAAGCTTAAATTCTTTGAAAATCTTCTTCTCTGCTGCTGGGTATTAAATAAAGTAACTAAGTACATAGTTATGATGAATAAAAGTGCCTTTTCATAAACTGTGAATTTCATGGCCCCAGGGTCAGGGGTTCTGATGTTAGGGCGGGGCTCTATTGACTATATAGTGAAAATGCATTAATTCTTTGAAAATCTTCTCCTCTGCTCCTGGGCATTAAGGTGATAAACTAAGTACATAGTTATGATGAGGAGGTGGGCCTCTTCCAGAATTGTGAAAGCCATCGCCCCTGGGTCAGGGGTTCTGATGTTAGGGCGGGGCTCTATTGATTATATAGTGAAAATGCATTAATTCTTTGAAAATCTTTTTCTCTGCTCCTGGGTATTATTTAAACAAACAAAGTGCATGGTTATGATGCATAAGGATGCCTTTTCAAAAATTGTGAATTTCATGGCCCCAGGGTCAGGGGTTCTGGTGTTAGGGCGGGGGTCTATTGATTATATAGTGAAAATGCATTGATTCTTTGAAAATCTTCTTCTCTGCTACTGGAGATTATTTAAACAAACTAAGTGCATGGTTTTGATGCATAAGGATGCCTTTTCAAAAATTGTGAATTTCATTGCCCCAGGGTCAGGGGTTCTGGTGTTAGTACGGGGCTCTATTGATTATTTAGTGAAAATGCATTGATTCTTTGAAAATCTTCTTCTCTGCTACTGGAAATTATTTAAACAAACTAAGTGCATGATTATGATAGGCAAGGATGCCTCTTCCAAACTTTTTAAATATATGGCCTCAGTTTTTGGGGTTCTTGAGGAGGGGGGGGGGCTCTATTGATTATATAGTGAAAAAGCATTAATTCTATTAATTAATCATTATTTAATCCTGTCTGCTCCTTAGCGTTGAGCTGATAAATAAATTGCTTAGCTATGATGAAAATGGGAGCTTCGAACAGAATTTTTAAATCTTGTGGTCCTAGGGTCAGGGGTTCTGGCATAACGAGGGGGGGGGGGGGCTTTTGATAATATAGTGGAAAAGTGTTAATTCTTCGAAGTCCATAGTTATGATGATGAGGGTAACTCTTCCAAATTTGTAAATTTCTTGACCCTTGGTCTTGGGTTCTGGTGTTAGGGTAAGGCTTTGTTGAATCTGTAGTGAAAATGCATTGTAGCTGTGAAATTCTTCTCTGCTTCTGGGCATATCGGAAGAAAACTGAGTAAAAGTTTAAATGATATAAGTAAGCGTATTTCTACCAGATTTTTGAACATCTGGACCATTTGTCTAAGCATTCTAGTCCTGGGCAGGGCTCTATTAATTTGTATTTTACTGAGAGAAGTTATTCCCCTTTTCCGTTCACCTTTGGTAATTAATCACTGTAAATAATGTATTTGAAAGGTTAATAGAATAAGATAATTATGCAAGAATGTTTATCATATAATTCAAAAAGTATTTTCATAGTTTTAATAATCAGGTATACCTGTAAGTAATAGATAAATAAAAATGAGACAAAAATAACTTATCTTATTAAAAGTTCTTCAAAGACCATAAGAGAGGTCAATGCTAGAGGTCTTAATATGGGTTTAAAAATAGTACAGAAGCACTAATAGTTTATTAATAGTCTGCATGGTGATAGTAAGTGGGGGACAGATTAGAACTTAATTTATGAGTTGATACTGAATACTAGACTAATTATTTTGTTGATCCTGATCTTCCTACTTCTCTTGCTTAAGGGCAGCAAAGCTTCATCTATCAGTGTATTTAACTTCTAAATTGTTGTATTATACTCAGGTGACCGTTAAGGCCCTTGGGCCTCTTGTTATGTTGTTCTATTTCTTAATCCCAGTTTGCTAGTATGTAGGTAAATAATATTAACTCAGTTGTTGACCTGAAGTGTTTTTAGTAGTTTTTTACTATTTAGTATAAGTTTTCAACAAAGAAGACATAAATTAGACAATTAAGAACCGAGTAATACAGAAATTTACACTAAATGCAAAAAGGCAAATATCAAATATCTACATGTACTAGATAAGATACCTATATATCAATTTTTATTCTCTTTTATTGTAATTTCATAAAGTCAAGACTTTAAAAAATAGATCAGAGATTCCTTCTTGAAAGATATAATTTTTTTTGATAGTTTAATAATATGGTTGATTTTTCTATCTTTGATCATGATTGTCAAAAAAAAAAAAAAAAAAAAAAAATTAAGACACCATAACACTTGTCAATTTAGACTTTGTTTGACATGAATTTAAAGATTTCTTTAGAAATAGTATTATTATGTTACATAGATATCAGTCAAGTGTACTGATATATTTTGTGTTGTACCATATAAAAATCACATGTATGTGTTATCTCTGTGTGTTGACAGAGACACAGTACTTTGATATTTGCCAAGTTTTGAGGTTACATTTGTAAAATATCAGTCAGGTCACATCATATTTTTGTTCACTATATACCAGCAACACACATTTAACTTTACTGATTAAAAAAACCCTTGGTTACATTAACAAGAAATAAAGCAGTGCTCATTTTCATGATTTATCACTTCTCAATAAACAAATTAATAATTAAAAAAACCCAAACATTTCAAGGAATCCTATTCTTAGCTGTGGAATTTTAGACAGGTGAATGTCATTGCACCTGAGCAGTTTTCATAAATTCTTATAGTTATGTTTATGACTTTGTGACAAAAAAGGCATTCCTGATGGCTTATTTTGAGAAATTAGCAGCCTTGGTTTGATGTGTCTGTACTAATGGCATATTATATTTACAAGATGTCTTTGTGGCATTTTTGTTGGAGCATAATCAATATATTTTTATTTAAACAGTTTCAGTCTAAATGTTGTATTATACTTTTATTTAAATTTTTATGAGTGTGTGTTACCTCAAGACATTAATAGTGCTTTCATTCTTAAAGACAAAAATGTTATTCTTCACTGTATAAATATTAAAGGAAAAACCAATATTGCAAGGTATTTAACAAAGTGCAGGGACTTGGAGTAATATTTGAGGAATCCAAATTTGTTCTTTGGATCATGACAAAATTTTCATGTCTTAGTTTTATTTTTAATGAAATATACATGTAGTTGCCCAGATGCTCTTGTATTGTTTTTAGCTCTTTACTTTGTTCTGTGTATCAAGGCATTTTGACCCATGGAGGAATTTAAAGATTACATATCTGCTTGCCCATTTGGAATTTTTCTGTACTGATATTTTTATATAAAAGATAAGGATTAAATAAAATTATTGAACATGTAATAAATCAATGAGATCAATATTTTAGACAATCTTTGATGGAGATGAAATTTAAGAAAGGGAAATTAGTCATTTTGCAATGTTAGAGTTATTTCTCTTTGATTTATCAATGGTAAAGTTATTTCTCTTTGACTTATCAATGTGGGAGATACTTCTCTTAGATTTGATTGAACAATTAATAGAATTATCTCTCTTTGATTAATCCTTTCTGATTTATCAGTGTTAGAGTTATCTCTCTTTGATTTATCAGTGTTGGAGTTATCTTTCTTTGATTTAACAATGTTAGAGTTATCTCTCTTTGATTTAGTTTTAATAATGTTAGAGTTATCTTTCTTTGATTTATTAATTTTAGAGTTATCATTCTTTGATCTAGCAATGTTAGAGTTATCTGTCTTTGATTAATCAATGCTTAAGTTATCTCTGGCAGAGCATCAGTCCTCAAAAAATGTTATTATATTTCAGATGAATTGTTTGATTTGTCTGAGGAAGAGAAACGGGAAATCTATGAAGGAGTGGGCTACAGTGAGTCAGAAAGCCCACAGAGCATGCCCAAAGAGGTAACTACTGATTAACTAGACTAATCCAAAGAGGTAACTACTGATTAATTAGACTAAACCAAAGAGGTAACCACTGATTAACTAGACTAATCCAAAGAGGTAATTACTGATAATCTGTAATTATCCAAAGAGGTAACTACTGATTAACTAGACTTTTCCATAAAAGTAACCAATGATTAACTAGACTAATCCAAAGAGGTGAGTCAGAAAGCCCACAGAGCATGCTAAAATTAGTAACTACTGATTAACTAGACTAATCCATAGTGGTAACTACTGATTAACTAGACTAATCAAAAGAGGTAACCACTGATTAACTAGACTTATCCAAAAAAAGGTCACTACTGATTAAGTAGACTAATCCATAGAGGTAACCACTAATTAACTAGACTAGTCCACACTCAGTCATAGTAGCTTATTCAGTAGAGCGCTTGCTCCGTGATTGGAAGATTGTGTGTTCCAATCATGGCCGTGGCTGACCTAAGTTGATAGAAAATAGGTATCAACTGTTCCTTCGCCAAGTGCTCGGCACTTTAGAATGAAAGTTGTGGGTCTTTCAGATGAAACCTTAAAAACCAAGGCCCCTTGTCATGGTAGGCATTGGCACCATCACTCTTCAATGGCTGTGAGTGCCGAGTATAGGTCTAAATTTGAAGCCCTTCACCAGTATATGGTGAAGTCTCTATACATGTATGAGTGAAAATTCTCGAACGAGACGTAAAACAACATACAATCAATGAATCAATCCATAGAGGTTACCACTGATTAGCTAGACTAATCCATAGAGGTAACCACTGGTTAACTAGACTAATCCATAGAGGTAACTACTGATTAACTAGACTAATCCATAGAGGTAACCACTGATTAACTAAACCTCATAGAGATAACCACTGATTAACTAGACTAATCCATAAGATAATGATAAACTAAACTAAACAAAAAAAGTAACTATTGATCAATGGGACTAAAAACAGTGAGAAACATTTAATCAACAGGCCACTGTAGATACACAGAAATATCTAGACATCTAATAGTAAGTTAAAAAAGCTAAGAAAGCCATGATTTGCAAAGTGAATTTTTAGAAGGATAGACTAGTTTGTAGAACAATTAAATCAAAGTGGTTTGATTTAGTTAGTACATAGATTAACAAATTAGACAAATTAATTTGTTTGGAAAGAGTATATTAACTCAGTTGAGAATTTTGACCCATTGTTGTTCATTGTAATCAGTTATAATTCCTACAGTAAACATGATACACCTGTAATATTTTTACAGTATGTGGCATACAAGATTCAGCTGAGGGTCAGACAATGTTGTGGATGTCTGACCAGTACAGAGGCCCCGGAATCAGCATGTATTCTACAGATTGTACTGGAGGACATGCTAACCTCTTATGAAAACAGACCTGGAGGTCAAGGGGTCAGGTAAGTTGGGAAAGAGGCTCATTGTTTGCTCTACCTCTTTATCAATCAGTGACGAGAAAGATGCTATTATTTCCTTACCTCCTCATTAATTACTGCACAGAAAAGTTTTCTCATTTGAAAAGTTAAATAAATTTAAATGACATTCTTTCAACAAATGTTGAAAAACTTGTTCTCATTTCACTTCAATGTGTTTAACAATTTTGTTTCTTGAAAAAAATCTGATATATTCACCTATCAAATATGTAATACAATGTTATTTCATCTACATGTACATGTATTATACATGTACCATATATACTCGCCTATAAGTCGGTTGTATTTTAAAGCTTATTAATAAATTAAAAGGATTTACCTGCTAAAATACCGATCTTTTTATAACTCTCGTATAATTCAGATAAAGAGTTTTGGACCAAAGTTTAACTCCCAAAAAACCGACTTATAGGCGAGTATATATGGTATCTGTTAGTAAGATTTAATTAATTATATGTGATTTTATTCCAGAGTTGTGAGTAACACAGAAAGTTTTGTGATTTCTGGAATTTCATTGGACAACAAACAGGTCAAATTACTGACCTCTAATGGTGGAATTTACAGTAAGTGTTGTGGTAATGTACTATTGTGAATTTTTACATGACTAGTTGTATACAAAAGTACTGTAGGAACAATTAGTGTTGATAATTGATCTTTGGTTTTATTTCATGTTTGGAAATCATGAGACTCGGCATATCATTATATACCGTATATTAAGCAAAAACTTTAGCGAGGATTCAATTTTGGCATTTCTAGTGTTGAAATCGCTAAATTTAAATATCACTAACAATTAATTCTACATTAGAGGTAACTGTTATTTTTCTCTGTGCAGTTAAATCGCTAAAGTTACTTCTTGCTAAAATTAAATAGTGATTTTAAAGGACAAATTGCTAAATTTGTGTCATGCTAAAAATTCCACATATACGGTATGTACTGGTACATTGGAGCCTCTCAAATCTAATTAAGGTTGTATTCCCAAGCACATCATTTTGGATCGCTGAAACATACTTGTCAATATGTCAAAATAATGTAAATTCTGTTTAAACTTTGTTTTTTGAATGGTGAAGCATCCAGATGGTTATTTCATGATAATTATGTATTTATTGAATCATTAATCAAATTTAGTATAACTTATGATTTGAAATCATTTGCTGGACTCCTATGAAATTTGATGAATCCTGTATGTACATGCTATATTGAAGAAGATATGAATGCTTGGTACACAATTAAAAAAAATATACAAAATTATAATACTTTTAATTTCCAATAAATTATCAGTGTAAGTTATTAAATCTTTAAATAGCATCAGATCTGACTGGTCAGATGTTTACCTTGGAGTATGAACTTCGACCTTTGCATATTAAAGCTGACCAATCACTGAAGATGACAGTACGACCTGTGGAAATCTTCTACGATCAAGTAATAAACCCAGTTCACATGCTTCAAAAATCTTCTTTCATCCAAGATTCTTAGGAAAACAGACTATGTATACATAATAGGTTCATTCCACCTTCATTTATTCTTGATATACATATTTTTAGCTCACCTGAGCTGAAAGCTCAAGTGAGCTTTTCTGATCACCCATTGTCCGTCGTCCGTCCGTCTGTCTGTCCGTCCGTCCGTCCGTCCCTCCGTCTGTCCGTCCGTCTGTAAACTTTTCACATTTTCAACTTCTTCTCAAGAACCACTGGGCCAATTTTAACATTGGTACAAAGTATCCTTGGGTGAAGGGGAGTGTAAATTGTTAAAATAAAGGGCCAAGTCCCCTTACAAGGGGAGATAATTAGGAAAAGACAAAAATAGGGTGGGGTCATTAAAAAATCTTCTTCTCAAGAACCACTTGGCCAGAAAAGCTGAAACTTACGTGGAAGCATCCTGGGGTAGTGTAGAATCTAAATTGAAAAAATCATGACCCCCAGGGGTAGGGCGGGGCCACAATAGGGAATCCAAGTTTTATATTGAAATATATAGGAAAAATCTTGAAAAATATTCTTCTCAAGAACCACTGGGCCAGAAAAGCTGAAACTTATATGGAAGCATCCTTGGGTAGTGTTGATTATAAATTGTTCAAATCATGACCCCTGGGGGTAGGGCGGGGCCACAATAGGGAATCCAAGTTTTACATTGAAATATATAGGAAAAATCTTGAAAAATCTTCTTCTCAAGAACCACTGGGCCAGAAAAGCTGAAACTTATATGAAAGCATCCTGGGGTAGTGTAGAATATAAATTGTTCAAATCATGACCCCCAGGGGTAGGGCGGGGCCACAATAGGGAATCCAAGTTTTACATTGAGATATATAGGAAAAATCTTAAAAAATCTTCTTCTCAAGAACCACTGGGCCAGAAAAGCTGAAACTTAAGTGGAAGCATCCATTGTTCAAATCATGACCCCCGGGGGTAAGGCGGGACACAATAGGGAATCCAAGTTTTACATTGAATTTTATAAGAAAAATCTTTAAAAATCTTCTTTTCAAGAACCACTGGACCAATAAAGCTGAAACTTATTTGGAAGCATCCTGAGGTAGTGTAGATTCTAAATTGTTCAAATCATGATCCCCGGGGTAGGGCGGGGCCACAGTAGGTATTACAAGGGGGGAATCTGGTAAAGAACAGCATGGCCAGTGTGGAAAGTTACTCAGGTGAGCGATGTGGTCCATGGGCCTCTTGTTTATTCAATGTCCTATAAGGATTCTATAATTATTCGCTTCATCATTGCAATATAGACTGCAGAACATAAAATAAAACTAACCATTATGTTGAAGATGTACTTAATAAACTGGATAAAATCTTCATGTGTTTCTGGTGACTGACTAAATGAGGCTGTTACAAAATTTGGTGTGTCAAACACTTCCCATAATACTGTTCTTAACTTTGTTCAATGTTCTTTTTCAGCATGCCATATCAGAGATTTTCCGGTTCTTTCAATCTTCTGACCATGTGATGGACACAGACATGAATGCCCTCGCCATGGAGAAGTTGAGTGGAGTGGTCCAGTACAGTAAAGATATGCTTCTGTATGCCATACAGCAGCAGTCGGTTAGTGTCTTCAGTTTTCTATATTGTCATCCCATGCTTAAATATACTCCATTGACTGCATTTGGGGACATGAGATTGTATATTCTGTACATAAAAGCATGTCTGTAAGCATAAGATTTTGAATGTAGGAGGAGTCAGATGTTGTTTCAAAATTAATGAGATTTAGTGGCATATTATGTAATTTAGCATGATGTGGAAATGTTAGATTTCAAAGTAAGCCAATTTTACTTCTTGTTTTCCAGTCTTTCTATGTAAATATACACATGAGGTCCCCTTACATTGTGATACCAGAAAATGGGACACTTCACACGTAAGTATGGCTTATATAATTAATTAATAATTATTATATATTAAGATTTAAGTCTTATAGATTCAGAAAGTACCTTGTTCCTTTAATTCTTTAAATGCAGCAAAAGTCTATGAAAATTTTTCCTTTCTTGTTTATTTTTTTCTTTGGATATTTTTTCCTCGTCTGACTCCATTTGCTGTAAAATAGTCTTTAAAATTATGCTTTGAATTTTTACTTGAATATTTTGAAGGGGGGGGATGAGGGGGGTGTGTTAGAGAGGGCACTTCTAGGTCAGTGCGGACAAATGTATAACTCCAAGAAATTTAATTTAGGAGGAGAATTGTCACAGGTAGACTTTAGTACCATGTAGTTTACAGTTGTTGTTTTTTTTTTATTTCAGAGGAGGAAATGTTTTAGTGGTAGACTTTGGTACGTTGTCTGTAGAGAGTGACTTACAGGAGAAACCAGATGATCCCAGGGTTAATATATTACAGCATTAAAGGATTATAGCCTAAGTTGTTAACTTTTCATTTTAAATTGATATATATATAATGTTATGAGTTATAATTCAATTCTTAGCAAAATATGTATGCAATGGATAAAACAGAGTTACATGTAGACAATATCGCAGGTATTGATAAGAATCAAGTTGAACCTGAAATGTACAGCAATATTAATATGAAATATGGAATGAATATGAATGAAATGGATATTAAAATAATATTTATGAATATTCAGGCATTTTGTTGAAAATTTTGTTACCCATTTGAGCATCATTTTTGTAGGCATCCCTACCTCAAACTTTCCTCCAGAACCAGATGTATGACAAATTCCAAGTCAAGATCAGCGATGTCAAGGCTCTTATTGCTGACTCAGGTGAGAGAACACAAAAGTTTAATTTGGCAAGAATTCTTTGATATTAGTCATATACATACATTTTGAGCTTATGAAGTAAAAACTATACATGAGTTTAAAAATATTCTGAAAGTTTAAGGTAATTTGTCTCCAAAACTTTGTGAAAATATGAATGAAAAACTCCAGCTGGCCAGGCTTTTAGAATATAATGTTTCCTTACTCTAATGAGTTTTGACTCAAATTATATGTGTGAGGGTTTGCTGAAATCATAACCATCTTTTCTTCCTGAAATACTGGGAGAGTTTACTCAAGTCGGTAGTCCAATTTATAATTTTACATTTGTATCTACAGATGTTTGTCTGTTAGAATGTGATAGTATGCATACTGAGTAGATTTTGTAGTTAAAAAGTTAAAAAACACACTCAGTTACACGTAAAATTAGAGAACCTAACATTGAATTTCTTATTTACATAAAAGATTGGTACAGTTTGCAAGTAAGTGAAAGTATTGACTGTTTTGACCAGGTGAAGATTGGCCTCAGTTCCAGACCCAGGGTAACTCTAGGTTTCATGTCCTGCCCAGTACACAGCTGTCAGTATCCTTCTACAAGACTATTGTACCAGACAACTACCAGATACCACAGTAAGTAAAACCAGTCAACTACCAGATACCACAGTAAGTAAAACCAGACAACTACCAGATACCACAGTAAGTAAAACCAGTCAACTACCAGATACCACAGTAAGTAAAACCAGAAAACTACCAGATACCACAGTAAGTAAAACAAGACAACTACCAGATACCACAGTAAGTAAAACCAGTCAACTACCAGATACCACAGTAAGTAAAACCAGACAACTACCAGATACCACAGTAAGTAAAACCAGTCAACTACCAGATACCACAGTAAGTAAAACCAGTCAACTACCAGATACCACAGTAAGTAAAACCAGTCAACTACAAGATACCACAGTAAGTGAAACCAAACGACAACCAGATACCACATTAAGTAATACGAGATAACTACCAGATACCACAGTTAGTGATTTCAGACAATTATCATATACTACAGTAAACATACCAGATACCACTTTATTTAATATCAGACAACTATCAGTTATCATGGTAAGTTTTACCAGATACCACTTTTATGTTGTAGCAGACAACAGACAGATTTATTATTTTTCTCTGAAATACATGTAGTAAGCATTTTTTGGTTGCAATAACCTTACTGTTAATTGTAATACCACAATTCATCATCTATACTTATAAATTAATAAATTTTGCAAATAAACTCCGAAACGGGTGCACCAGAGTTCTTACTTACTCCTCTAAGAATACACACGATACAAGATGATGTCCGTAAACTATATTTAGATTTCACCTGCATTGTAGGTATCGTACATTAAATTAAAAGTCTACTTTTATTTTCTATAAACAGCCATGAAATAGCAAAAACGTGAGTACAGTGGCATTTCCGGTTGGCGGATCTAAGTTACTGGCAATTTTTAATGAAACTGACAACAAGCAATCGTTTATTTATTTCATAAAACGTCATCACTGAATTATTCAATCAAAACTTGATTTAAATGATATAAAAGAAATAAGTTGTGATAACCGATTAAAAAGGAAAATGTGCAAATTATTTTCGTCATTCACCGATCGTAATATTGACGGAAGCTTCTAGAACATCATATAGCATCGAGCCTGATGTTAAAAAGAAAAATGAGGCGATTATAGCTGCTTTAACATAAAAAAAAAGCTTTTGTGTGAATGGTCATTGTAATAAAGGTAAATCATTGATAACACTGTAAGTTGTGAATATATTTATATATCGAAAGACTATTACATATATGTAGTAGGTTTTCTTAATAAATTTATCGGTAAAATTTGTATATATATTCCTCACTGAAAGCATCGTGGCAACGAACCCGAAGTACAATTTGTACTTCGTAATAAACTTGCTTACATAAAAAGAGAATATTAATGAATAAGGCATTATTCAAATACAATTATGCTGTAAAATTTTGTGCTTTAATCAATACATTTCAGTTTTTTTCTGAATACAGTCTTTTGTATCAAATACTCGGCCTATTCCAGTGGCGGATCCAGGAATCTTGAAAAGGAGGGGGGGGGCAACCAGTTTGGAGTTGGGGTAGGGGCCCAGGGACACACAAAAAAATTGATTTGTTAAATTTTATGTATATTTTGGACACAAAATGGGAGGGGGGGGGGGGGGGGCTGGGTCCCCTCTCTAAATTCGCCAGTGTATTCATAGGGTGTTATATAAAAGCTAATTTTTACACAGGTGCTTGGGCCTTGGATTAAAATATGTATGTACCTTATTGATATGTAAAAAAAGAGGTAAGGTACAGTTTTTACATATCAATAAGGTACATACATATTTATAAACCAAGACACATGTACCTGTGAATTTTTACCAAAAAAATCTATTTCTCAGTAAAATGTGCATATTCACTGCTTTTATTCTTGACGGAAATGAAGAAGAGCATCTGAAGTACAATATCCATAACATAGTATATACAATATCCATAACATAGTATATAGCAGGTTTCACAATAAACGTCAATTAATGATATTGTTATTTAAGTTTTACAAGGGGGGTTTGGGGGGGGGGGGGTCAGAGACGTACTTCTACTTCATGCGGATTTCGAACAAAGTATTTCTTCCTGCTTTAAGCCTGTAGGCTGTCAGTAGAAACTACAATATATATATTATAAGATTTTTTCTGTCGGTAGTGGTATAAATTCAATTCCGAGCGCGTGCGCGGGATTTCATCTAGTGCTCTTTGAAATATGTGCTAGGCCAGTATATTTTCAACTAGGTACTAAGCATAATACTGGTCTAATTCTACAGTCAGAAGTTTGATGTCCAGTTACCTTCATTGACTTTGAACCTGAATGATGAGCAGATACTGGTACTGTACAACTTCCTGTTACACTTTCCCAGCCCCTCCCTTGTACCCCCAGGTGCAGAGACAACTCAAGATGGAGGGGAAGTCAGTAGACCCAAACTGGTCAGTGAAATATTTAATTTTACAAATCATACAGTAACTTATATTTCCAAAATTTTGTGTGTATGTATCCACTGTTATATGAGAAAATGAATTTGAAATTGATTTATACCTTATATACCTATTGCAGGTCCTTTCCGATGTACAGTTAGATCCAGATATTTCCACACTCCGAGCGATCAGGAAGAGTATCCTACGACGTCCTGTAGCCAGAGGACTTCTGACAGTGGTGGAGGAGGGATTGATGAGTACATCTGCACCAAGTCCTATACAATCAGTGGAGGATCTGTCAATTTCTGTGGTGGAAGATATCGATGATGAAGATAAAGAATGGAAGAGGTGAGTGACTTGTATGCTAAGAATTAGCTACTCTTAGTTGTAAAAATACATGTCTCATCAGTATAATTTTGAATTTGAAATATTAGCATAATTATCAGTTCAAATTTATTTTAAAAATGTTGGAAGTTTGATTTTGTTTTAATTTCTGTTTATTTAGAATGGCCAGATATTTAATTTTTAACAGTCATTGATATCCTCTAAGTCAGACTTGCCTTACACTCCCTTTCTTGCTCTTTTGCTTGCATATCATAGCTAATTAAGAGTGTGTTGGCAGTAAATAGATAAAGCATTCAGGGTTTGCCTAATGCAACATTAATCATTCTAATTGGATTCTTAATTTCAAGGTTAAATCTTAAATTTTTTTTAAATTGTTTTATTGAAAAAAAATATCTTGCATTGTATTTGTAAGAATTATTTTCATAGATCCTATTATTTTTTTTTTTTTCATAATTATTGTATTTGTGTGATTGTGTTCTTATGTATTTGTAATTCTTTATGACTTGAAAAAGAATTAAAGAATTGCACCTTCACAGGACAGGTTCATTAATCTCCCTTTCATGATATAGACGGACACCAAAGGGACTGGAATTTTGATCTTCCAAATCTTTTAAAGGGAATTATCTCTTTTGTCTTCTTCACAGTGATACAAACATTCGCTCAGTTGAGGACTATTTAACAGACCGAGTCAAAATGAAGATGTATGTAAGACTTCAGATAGCTGAGATGGTACTACAGATCTCCCAGGGACACGGGAATGAGGCTCGTGACTACCTGATGTTCCGTCTGGACCGGATCAGTGCCGACATGGCGGTGTTGTATTATGTGGAGGGGTCAACCACCACGCCCCCGAGTCAGTGTGGGACGGCGGTGTTCGCCAGTGTGGGGGCCCTGAGTTTGGCTGACAAATTAAATAAAGGTACAGTGTGATGGAAGTTGAGGTGATATATTAGACAATTTCTATTCTTTTTTATTAAGTTTATGTCAAAGTAGATCCAATACACGTCTTTTCTTAAAAAAAAAATGTCATGATGATATTTTCAAATTTTTAGCATTGCAAAATAATTAATTGATTTTTTTTTTGAAGATGCAAGAAACACTAATTAGCAGATCATTTACAGTGCATTTATTAAATGAATTTTCAAGATATTAATTGAACTTTAATTCAGCATGTACTAATGTTGCAAAACCAATATTCATTTTACATTGTGTTTAGATGAATAAAGTAAAATTATTACAGACACTTCATGTTTTTCCAGGTACATCTGGTGCTTACTTAGAATTACTGAGGACAGAGTCTGACAAAGAACTGATCACATTCAGCTACAGACAGGTAAGTAGGTTTTAAATATGTACTGTAATAAATATGTAATGATGGAAGTCTTATTGAATCGTGTTTTATTTTGAAGATAAACAAGGATTGTGCAGACTTTGTGTCGGTGTTTGAGAGCACGGAGAACAAAGCCACCATTGTGTGTAACAGTCTGACTGTAAGACTGGACCAGACAGGGATGTGCTACCTTAAAAAGTTTACAGAGGAACTACAAAACAGGTAAAAAAAAAAACTCACATTGTGTGTAATAGTGTAACTGTTAGACTGGACCAGACAGGGTTGTGCTACCTTAAAAAGTTTACAGAGGAACTACAAAACAAGTAAAAAACTCACATCACCTGTAATAGTCTGACTGTAAGACTGGACCAGACAGGGATGTGCCTCCTTAAAAAGTTTACAGAGGAACTACAAAACAGGTAAAAACCTCACATCACCTGTAATAGTCTGACTGTTAGACTGGACCAGACAGGGACGTGCTTCCTTAAAAAGTTTACAGAGGAACTATGAAACAGGTAAAAAACTCACATTGTGAGTAATAGTCTGACTGTAAGACTGGACCAGACAGGGATGTGTTACCTTAAAAAGTTTACAGAGGAACTACAAACCAGGTAAAAATCTCACATCATCTGTAATAGTCTGACTGTTAGACTGGGCCAGACAGGGATGTGCTACCTTAACAAGTTTACAGAGGAACTCCAGAATAGGTATAAAAACCCATTTCTACATGGCAAAAATGTTCAGATTCATACATTTCTCATATTGAAATCAAACTTGCATCAACTACCTTAAAATTATTTTTTTTTGTACACGTATAAGTACTGGTATATATTTAACTTGTCATATTCTCCACAATAAGATTTGATTAAAATTTAATTATGAATGAGAAGAAAATTAATACCCAAGAATTCATGAGAATTCAATTTCCATGCTTTGGACATCAAAAGTTGTTGGAAGTATTGTTTTAAACACCTTGCAAGCAAATTTAAGTTCAAGCTGACAGGAATAAGAGGATTGTATGTGTAACTTTGAAACCAAAAAATCCTTAAAGGCTCATACTTCATTGTGTTGAAGGAACTTCTCGAAATCAAGCTAAAAAGATTAATCATGACCTGTCTTAGCTCTAAGCTATATGCCATTTATGGTTTTTCTGGAGAAAGACTGCATTTATTTACAAGACTCAGATTTTAATGCTAGGAATGTAGAATTTTATTAATTTGTTTCCTACCAAAAACAAAGGATCCTCATTAGCAGAAAAGGTGGTATGATACTCAAACAATTACAATTCAACAGTATTTAGGCTACAAGAGTTTCTTTATAATTTCTTTGTTATTAAAATAGGAAAGATTTTTAAAAGCCCTTACTTACAATGTATATGCCCCTTGTTGATTTGCTTGATGGGGAGTAATAAGGTGGGGTTTATAAGGACAGGTCTAGAGATTTGTTTTGATAAATCACCTACAGGATAGCAGAGAATGAAAAGAAAAGATCTCAACCTCTGCCGGACTATCTTGATTCTGTTCCGCTCCGACGAAGTGAAAGTAGAGATGCTTCATCCATGACAAGTCGGAGACTGTCACAGTTTGCAAGGAGAATTTCCACCTTTGTTGATGAGGGTAAGAACTAAGTTATATATTAAATGTGTGTGCATTTTGTTCTGATTGATATAGATAGCTCACAAAATGTTATTATACTGAGACTCTGTGACATTCAATTTATTTGCTTAAATTGTGTGTGTTTGGTTTATTTACAAAAGCTTTAAGTTAATTTTAATTTAATTTAAGTAAGTTTAAGTTATTTTAATGAAAAGGTTAACAGCAATGAAAAAGGAAAACATGCAGATTAGGTAAAAAAAAAAGCCAGACAACAATATTTTTCTCTTTATAGTGGATGCTGAGATGACAAAAATACATGTACCGCCCAAACAGAAGAATCTTGTCAAGTTTCTCTTGACCTCTCAAGTTCAGAAGGTCACCATACATCTCAGTAACCTTGAGAGCCAAGTGGCTGAGATTGAGTTTATTGGTAATAGTACTAAATACATGTACTTCTCTTGGAAGTGTTTCTAATGATACATTGTTCTATTATCCAAACATTTATAATGTTATAGTAATGAAACTATTTGTTTTCATACCATCATACTATTGTTTTCATACCATAATTTGTGATGATATTAAATTAGAAATGTTTTAAAATGTAGCATATTATGTGCATTAATTTGTAAAAAAACTTCCTTTGAAAATCTTCCCTTTACTTTTTGGAGTGAAACACAACATTTTCTCTTTTGGGGGGTTTGTAATGTTTGGGATACATGAACATGATTGTGTAATTACTAGATGTCTGTTTTGTTTTCAAGGCATGGACAGTCAGGTGTCTGTGGAGAAGAAAAAGGCTTGTATAAGAAGTCAGATAAAAGATCTGGCCGTACTGGATAAAACGACAGGCACACTCTACCCTCATGTAAGTCAGAGTTAATATACTCAATAATTGTATACTAAATAAAACAACAGGCACACTCTACCCTCATGTAAGTCAGAGTTATATTCTCAGCAATTATTTTTCTCCAAAATGAATTAATTTTATGATTTCAGTTTAAAAAATTGGCAAATTTGAAGAAGGTATGGTTTTGGCTCTATCATGCCCTAAAATTTGATCTTTTCAAAAATTTAAATTGAATATATGACAGGGATAAATCTTGAATTTCAAAGAATTTGGAATAAAGGAGGACGGTTCTGACAATATGACATCATTAATTAACATGTTATATTTCTAGAGTATTATTAGTATTGAAACCATACCTTCTTCTTGAATCCCTTAATTGATCAAATCTACTAAGAAAGCTAGCTAGATTTTGGATTTTACTAGTTAAACCTGAATAATGTTGAAATATTTTAAGAGGGGCATACTTTTTTCTTAGTACATATTCTTATTTTTGTTAAGCTAGCCTTATAGTTGTATTATATTGGTCTTATCTTCAGATTTTAATGCTGGAAGAGAAGGATAGCCCTTTCTTCAATATGAAGGTATACAATTCAAGAATTGCATACAAATGATATTATTTCTATTGAAACTATTGCTTTTAAACTTCTTGGAATGAATGTCAATTTTTCTATTGCCGAATTGTTTGAAGGTCGAACAGTTCTGGCGAAGTGCCAAAAAGAAGCGTGGCCATGGAGATCCTGGATTAGACTACAATGTTCAGCTCAGGATTGGAGACCTGCAGGTGGCTTATGTCAATAGATTCCTTTGGGATATTACAGTAAGTAGCAGAGATGGAGAACAGAAAAAAGATTATGTCAAAAGATTCCTTTGTGATATTATGGTAAGTGTCAGAGAGGGAGAATAGACAACATACTCAAGGGAACAGTTACCTATGGGATATTACGGTGAGTGTCAGAAAGCATATACCAGAAAACATTTGTTAAATGTCTTTGTTTACTTAATACATTCCTTTGAACTATAATGGTAAGAGTAAGAGGGAGAATTGACAAAACGTAATATGTCAGTAGAGTTCTATAGAATATTACAGTAATAACGGGTAACAAGACTTATATTCTTTTACTTATAATGTATATAATTTAATAAAATATGGATGAAGATGAGGGCATAATTAACATATAATATTTTAATTTCTGAGGTCCACAGTACTGACAAAAATTATTTGACAAAAAATGTGAAACTACTGTGTGGTAAATAATGCACAAATATTTGCAATTTAAACAGAAATTCTTTGAGCCTTTGAAGACTCCAGAAATGGTACAGGTTGCAACAGCCACAATGGAGAATGTCACAAAACAGGTAAGATGTTTATTAGGCTAGAATAACTGATTAACTAACTCTGGGCCATCAAATTAAAATACATGTGTATGTTAAAAATATGCATTGGACAAAGGATTGTAATTTACTTTGTATTTGCTTCTCTAAATGAGGACAAAGGTCATTGTATCTTATTTGCCTTAGTTGTAAATGAGGACAAAAGATTGTATCTTATTTGCCTTAGCAGTAAATGAGGACAAAAGATTGTACTATCCTCTTTGCTAGTGTAAATGAGGACAAACGATTATAATCCTATTTGCTGTTGTAGGTTGCTGAGATTCAGCCCTCTGCAGTCCGGGTCGGTCTGATGATTGACATGAAAACTCCCACAGTGATTGTACCAAAGACTTCAAAGTCCCCAGACCTGATGCTGCTCCGATTTGACTACCTCCAAATCCGGAACTCCATTAAGTCAGAATTCCTGGCTGATGAATCCCAGCAAGACTGGAACAATGTCCGAATCAAGGTCAAAGCCATGCAAATAAGCAGGTAGGTGTAAGGGTTTCCTTACAAACTATCAATAGGATTTTGCTGAATATGTAATATTCACTGTGCTACCATTGAAAACAGAAGTGGGGGGGGGGGGGAGGGGAAGGGGGCTACAGCTCTCTGTCAGTGTCACTGTCCCATATTCAATTTAATTTCCAAATGTTGGGCTTAACATATATTAAGATAAGATAAAGATTGCATTTTTCAGTAGTGTGAAATACATGACTTGTTGGATTCAAAACCCTTTTGTCGGAGTAATGGCCCTTAATTAGATGAAAATGTAAATAATTGTCTCAGGTATGAATATTGTAATTCACCGATTCATGCAGACAAAATCATTTTATAATTGAACTTTTCTTTCCTCAGAGCTAAGATCTTGAGTGATAAATTTGTTGTCAGCCATAACATAGCAGAACCTGTGGACTTTTTAGCTTCAGTCAGCCTTGCTTTGGAACCAGTCAAGTCAAAGGTCATGTATGATGTCTCTGGAGATCTCTTCCTCATGAAGGTACATTGTATATATTGATATAGGAATGAGCCATACTTTATAATGAGTATTACTACATGTAAGTAAAGATGAGCTTGAAAAGTGTTGGTCAACTTTATCTAGGAGAAGTTGCATCTTTCTCAGACTCGCTGTATTATAATATTTCTTTTAAAAATATTAACAGACATTAACATCTTTCATTGTATTTCATTTTAAGCTTTACAATTGTATACAATATGTTTCAAATATTTAATGTTGAATCAGCAATGTTATGAGAATCAAATTATGAAGGAACTTTTTCACAACATTAAATATACTAATTCAATTTTTTTTCAAATTTTGTCCTCAGGTTAACATGTTTCAATCAGACATTAGGTTGTTGATGGATATCCTGAACATGAACTTCCAGGAAGGGGCACCCAAGTCAAGTAAAGGCATGTGGCAATAACTAAAAACACTAATTATTGAAAGGAAAAATGAACAACTTTTACATATACTGTATTTCTTGGGATAATATTGACCTTTTGACTCTGGTTGTACTAAAGTACTTAATAACACATATATAATAGAAGTCTCACATGGGATCATTGGTCAATTTGTTAAAATCTTAAAATCTTAAGTTTGCTTTTTATTGGCTGATATTTTTTGTTTCTAAGACTTCCAATTTATTGTGTTTAGTGGAAGATAAAGAGTTACCTCCCCCACAGACAGGAAGTGAAGATGAGTTGCCTGCCCCTGAGACAACAGAAGCCCCCCCTGCCCCTACCACTCCATACAATGCAGTACTTACATTCCAGGGACTGGTTGTACAACTGTTTGAAGAAAAACAGCAGGAGGATCACTCACTAGTAATTTATTTCTGCTACGTACAGTATCAGTGATAATTTTTAATAATAATATACATGTGCTGCTTTTCATTTGAAAAAAAAAATTAAATGGAAAGGTAGATATTGACAATTACATTGGTATGTACTGCTTGAATCTTTATTTGATGCTATTTCTTGAGGAAAAATTTGATGGTTGTAAGATATTTGTGCACAGTTGATAAATCCAGTCATTTCCTATTTTGGTCTGCTTTTACCGGTAACAATTAAAGCAGAATCTGAATGCTCTAATTGATTACAGTCCCTGAAACGTTCTACTTTCCCATTTTTCCGTTCGCTCACCGTTCGTTCACCGTTCGTTCAGCGTGCGTTCACCGTTCGTTCACCGTGCGTTCACCGTTCGCTCTCCGTTCACAGTTTTGCGTTCAGCGTTCACCGTGCGCTCGCGTTCACCGTTCACAAAGCGTTCACCGTTCGCTCTTCGTTCGCTCACTTTGCGTTCACCTTGCGTTCAGCGTTCACTTATCGTTCAGTCTTCAGTGTCATTCGGAACTCCGAAGTGAAAGGACTTATCTTTTTTTAAGTAAGGATTTACAGGTTTTGAATTTAATAAATAACATACAGTGTTTAAAGAATCATTATTTCATGGGGAAAAATTATCTACAATATTTATTTTTATTATTGTAACTTATCTGTTAGGTTATTTATAAAATTTATGTGGAAAATCAATGTTGTTATAAGTACATGTACATGTATGTACCGATGTAGAACGATGCTGAAAAATTAAATCTAAATACGGTCAAAATACTGATACTTCAAGTACTGCAACATTTTGCTTTTATGTTAAAGACGACAAATCGTAAATGGATAGATAGTAATCGAACCGGAAGTCAATTAATTTACCACCTGCAACAAGAATACGAAAATATTTATTTCTATCACATTTTTTTTCGAATAAAACAGAAATACATGTTAGAACTTGTTCTGAGAATGATAAACAGTACTGCGGATATCCAGTTAATTAAATATCTTTAGAGCGAATTAAATTGATAGTGTGGTTAAAAAAAATATTTGTTTAAAATGTAATACATTAAAGAATTTTTTTCTACTTTACAGATATAAAGTCTTTAATTAGAGAGAGAGAAATGCCTTTATAACATGATTATCATTTATATAACCAAGGTGATTCTCCGGTAATGATATTTTTCACCGTAACTTCATGTTTGTCATTCGATATTATTAAGAGCCCCCCCCCCCTTTCCCCTAAATCGGTTACTTAGTTAGTATTTCCAGTACATTTTAGTTAACATTTAAAAAGAAGTTAATGTGTTTTGTAGCACAAAAATTTCAGTCTCAAAACAAACATGCATCTAAACAAATTCATTAAACAATAGTAGTTCAAAATATACATGTGCCGGCGGTGATACATGTATTTTAAATTGGCAGGGAGTATGTTTCAAATTCAAGCGGCTTTATCATTCCAAGTGTTTCTTCCCAATGTATTTTATTTATTTATTTATTTATTTATTTATTTTTTTTTTTAGAAATGTTGGAATCAGATCTAGAAATGATAAGAAAAAATGTTAAAACTTGTTGGAAATACTAACACTTTGCCTTCGGTGTGACGAGACTTTCACACCTGCACAGTGTCGAATGATTTTGATTGACAGGACAAGCACGTGGACTTCGTGTGAACTTGAAGCAGGAAAATAAAAACCGATTATGACTGTAAAACAAATGGATTTGTTGATAAAAAAAAAATGGATACTTTCACTGCCTGATATATTTAGAAAAGAATTAGAATTTTTGTTTGATATAGGTGCAAACATTTTAGGAGGGGGGGGGCTAAAACCGAATCTCTCTCTCTCTCTCTCTCTCTCATTTGTCTGTTTAATAAAAACTATGCCAACATATTACTTAAATATCAAGTTGTGAAAATTTAATATATAACAAATATTATGATTGCCTCTTTGTATCATCTTGTCTGAGTATAATCACGGCCGGGAAATGTCTACAGATACATGTAGAAGTCCGCTCAATAAATCATCATAAAAAAATAAAACTGACACATAAATATATTATTGCATTAAGATTTTAAAATACGAGTGTATTTATGCAATAGGTCCACATACCTTTGTAAATTTTTTTTCTCATTATTTTACACGGAATCCCTTGTATGGTTGTTAAAGCCGTTGTAATTCATTCTATAAGTCCGTAGTTTTCTCTTCTAAAATCTACATTATTTGCAATGGTTTTATATATCAAATAAAAATAAACATATTTTACAACTAGATTAATTTCATTTGTTATACTACAGCGTTCGTTAACAATTACAATGTTTTACAGCGATAAAAATCGTGTTAATAAAACGTTGAATTTAAACACCGTACATACGTGCAGAAAATATTGCAAGAAACTTAAATTAATAATTTTACTTAATGTGCATGTATGGTCTTTCTTGGGACAATTTTCATTGATTTGTTTATTTATTTATTATTTATTTATTTTTTTTAGCACCAAGCATTAGAACACAATAGAATAGTTTCAATGCAAGGAAAAGATCAGAGGCATTCCGAATAAATCGTTCATCTTGCGTTCACCGTTCGTTCATCGTTCACTTTGCGCTCGCGTTTGCGCTCCGTTCGCGTTCTGCGTTCGCTCACCGTTCACCGTTCACACATCGTTCACCAAGTTGCGTTCAGCGTTCACACATCGTTCACTCGCCGTTCGCTCTGCGTTCGTTCAGCGTTCGTTCACCGTTCGTTCAGCGTTCGCTCACCGTTCAAGTGGGAAAGTAGAACGTTTCAGGGACTGTATGCTAGACAGTGTACCTATCATAATAAATCTGCAGCAACATGATATTTCAAATATTTTCCATGTATGTATATTTTGATAAAATTTTTGTTCACATTTAGAAAGCCTCAAAGCTGAGCAGAATTGAGATAGGAAAGTTAGTGGGCCGTGTCAACACGCAGACGGATGGAGATATCAGAACAGACGTCAACCTTTCACTCCAGACACTGTCTGTGGACGACACTCGGCCAAACAGTACCATCATCAGTAAAAGGTAATACAGTCACACAGTGTGAAAAAGAATTGAATGCACTGTCAGGAAAAGTCACATACTTTGGAAGCACTATTTAGTTTCCTGGCTAATTTTCTTTGCAAGGATATTCTTTCACAGTCCAAAATTATCTTTTTCTTCAAGATGTGTGTGACTCAGTGATCAACTTATTCATACTGACAAACTTTTGACCATGATGTTTTTTTAACCATTTTTCTCCATTTAAGTCAGAGTTCAAAATACAGAAAAAGAAAATAACTTAGCATAAACAGAGTGAACGAAAAATACATGTCATGAAAAAAGTGTTGTTATAAACACACATTTTTGAAACAAGAATCATGTACATGCTAGAGACTCATTATCTTTCAGATCTTTTTTGGCATATGTTTTATAAATACATTGTTGTTGCATGATTTATATATGACTGCCGTCATGAGAAAAGGGCCCTTAAGGTCAAAATTCCACAAATTGACTTTTTGGTCAATTATGATAGTCTGACTCTTTCTGAATGCAAATATACACAAGTTTTAAAAATATCTCACTTTTTTCAGTATTTTATGAGCATTTTAGTAAGGCCGCTTCAAAACAACATTGACGTTACTCACTGAAAACGTAATGACGTCGCGTGCGTCAAATTCAGTTTCCAAGCATTCTTTAAAAAAACTACATTTTTAAAATAACCTTAATCGTTTTAACACATATAAACTTGATTTTTTTTCTTCCAAGCAACTAGTGTGTAATTATTCACAAGGGGAGTCGCACACTTTTTTCATACTATATAGGGCATATCTAGTAATTTCGTAGAGGGAGGGGTGGGGGTCTAGACAGGATCTAGGAACGTGTCTTTATCGAGTCGAAAAATTAATACTTGTTGAATTCCACTGTATTCTTTCTATAATTAATACTCTATTTCAATGTATAAAAGATGTAAAGTACTTGTAATATTAAATTATAAAAAAGATCTATATAGATGTCCCAGAAGGGCACCTCATGCAATTAAAGCGGGGCATCTCCTCGCAAAAGAGCATATCGATCCCGATCTTAAAACAATATTTTGGGATATAAGCAAGCATTCGCTCATCCACATACACACACGTTACTTTATCCCCTGTAACTTTGTTACAAAGGGATAATAACACCTCATGTATTTTCTGTATCACCGAAAAATTCTAATGGGAAATAAATTCAGATACGCCATGATGTGAAACCTTTTTTTTTTTTTTTTGTAAAGTTTCAGAAAAAAAAACATAATTCATAAAAAAAAATCTGTTCACTACCTCCAAGGGGATAATCCTTTATCTTTTATTGAGCACTTTATTCAAAATGTTTAAATAATTAAGTTTCCATTGTTGATACAATTCAGTTTATTCACCTGTCTTAGATATGATATGTAGAAACAGCAAGGAGGCACATAATGATGTCAAAGGATTGTTTTATGAACGTTTATTCCGGACACAAAAATTTAAATTTTTGCCAACTTCTTACTTTTTAAGCAACTCACACGTCATCAAAAGCGGTTATAAACGTTTCTGTACTTTGATCCCCCCCCCCCCCCATTTTTTTTTTTTATTGTTTTGAGACACTTGTGCTCTCGACGCTACTGCAATTATGAACACACAATTATCGTTCATCATTTCTTAAAAGGGCCGTTAATTTTAAAAAAATATATGGTTTATGTATATATTGTATAGTTCGATCAAAAGGATGGCTGTACTGCTCTTGGCTCTTTTATTAAATATATATACATACTAAACGGACTTCTCTGAACGAAATAAAATCAAGTTGCATTACAATTTTTATGAAATCTATTTGAAATTGAAACCGAATCTCTTGCAAGAATTAACAGGCCCGTAGAAGGCGGGGGGGGGGGGGGGGGGGGGGGGGCTGCCCCCACTTTTTCTTAGTATAATATTAGCAAATTTTCCTTTTATAGGTGCTGGTTCTCCCGTCCCCCATCCCACCAAATTTTTGTTGGTGTAAGGTGGAGCACTGGAAAATTCCAGGATTTTTGTACAGATAAGTTTTCCCCCTTTTTCTGCTTCTCAGATTATTTGGGAAGCCCCCCCCCCCCCCCCCCCCTGAAAAAACCACCACCACTCTTTAGTCAGTATAGGGTATTTTTTTAATTGCGTGTCAGATTTATGTAGGAATCCCACCCCCCCCCCCCCACACTTTTGAATTTGTAGCTACGGACCTGCTTGAATATATGTATATTAACATAATTAAGGTCATCGATTCATCTTCTCCATCTTTCTTAATCTGACATCTAAGTTTTTCATATTTCGATGCGACGAAACGTACATAAAATATATTCTTAAACAATAATTAAATATTACGTCCGACACACATGTTAATACTTTTTTTTGTATATGGGGCGATTCGGTTAAGTAATATCCTATTGAATGTTTGTAACTCTACCACTCTAACTTGACCTTCATAGGCGACTTAGTATCTGCTTTTGTCTGGAAAGCTAAAGATAAAATAGACAAACCATTTTTGCCTAGTTAGTGTTTCAAAAATCTTGAAATTAAAGAACATGGCTCTTATTTTTGCCTGTCACCACACATCTGAAATAGAAACAATTTTTTTTTCTTTAAAATCAGAAAGATGTGTGTGCTTGTTTAATCCTTTTCCTTCAGTATCCCAATAGCAACGGACCTTTCAAAAAATGTCTAGATATCCGGGATATTGAAATATCGGAGCAGAGACTCAACGTCCAAGATTTTAACACGAAACGTGACTAATTTATTACATACAGATGTACATGAATTCAACAGTCAACCAAAAAAAAAAATGTTTTTTCTAACATATTTTATGGTTTTCAAAGTTTTGCCTGAACCTTTTTTTTCCGCTCGAAACATCACCAATGTTAATTTTTCTTTCATCTTTATCAAAATTTAGATTTCTTGATTGTCTTCGTTGTCTTACAAAATTGTGGTTGATGTTTTTGAACATTTTCTTAACATTTGAATATGACACTTATAACCACTTGTTACTAGTACTAATTCCTCTATCGGTGATTTATTCCCAAAAGATGTCGCCATTTCAACATTTATCAGAAATTTCTAATTTCTTAACAGCCTAATCTATTGTTTAATCTGTTGTTTCTTCTGTTTCATAAATATTTTAAATCCTAATATCACCGTCGATGTAATTGCTATTTTCTTCAACATTGATCATAATGCTTTTGGAAAAAGTCCACATTATATAGTTGTATTTATTTCCTAAACATATTGCAATTCAATTTCAAGTCAGCTTTTATCGCAACAATTTAAGAAAATTGATAGATAAATTTTATCAGAAACTACTTTTTTATGTATTTATTTGATCATTTCAAAATGTTTTTTTTTACCATAATTTATTTTATGCAAAATTTCCGTGGCATCCCCCTTTTCCGTTTTCCCCTTTGCATATGCTCTTGCTGTTAATTTAGCAAAGAATTATCTATATAGGGACCGTTTGCTCCCCCCCCCGTTATTCTTTGTTAGAGTAGGAGGTTCGGATTTCCCATGATACCAGTATCTAACCCCCCCTCCCCCCCTCCCCCAATAAAAAAGAAAGGTTCTCTTTTTAGAATGAAATTTTACCGATTGCTTTTTTATTCGCAGATTTGTTTTCCATTTCAATGATCTCTGCCCCCCCCCCCCCCCCCAACACACATTTTGATATCGACGCTTCACCCTGAGCTGGTCTAACTGCGCATATCGATATGATTAACTTCGTATTAAAATGGGTAAATACATTTTACGTGAAGGTATTTTTTAGAAAAGAGAAGTGTATATGCGCATTGATCCCCCCTCGCTGAAAAAAAAATATATACGTGTATGTAGAATGCCATTTCATAATAAGACTTAGTCTATTGAATATTAGTCAAATTTAAACATTTGAAGATTGCTCAGACAACAAATGTACAGTATCTTGAGGCATGCATCATATAAACACGTCGCTATAAATCGTCGTAATTAACAATGAGTTCAATATCGCGTTTAGCTTGATTATGTGATATCAAGTTAAATACTGAAACAGAATAATTAATAAATGCATGTACTAGTATGTAATTATATTATTTATTAAAAATTTCCGCATCAAATTTCATATCATTTAATTTTTTCTTGTAACATCTGGAAATCCAATTTTATATCTTGTTCACAAAACGCACTCGACAAAAATTACTTCCGTGTTTACAATACCGCGACTTTGACGTCGTTTTCTGCGCATTGTGACGTCAAAAGATAAGGGCCCTTTTCTCATGACGGCAGTCATATGATTAATTTCTGGTTTCAGAATTATAGACTGTGAAAGGGGAACAATCAAGAAAGAAGAGGAGGAGTTACTTCCCCTAATTTCTGTTATATACAAGGAGAGGACCAATGGGAACCAAGAGGGTAGGTAACTGAACACGTATTTAGAACAATAACTGACCAAGAAAAAAAATCAGTTAATAAAATAAACAATTATCTTTGAAATATTTCCTTAATCTGTAAAATGTGCTATTAATAAAGTTCTCTATGTCACAAATGTTCCACAAAAACCTGTCAGAGTGTACTTGATTAAAATGCATAAGAAATGTACAATGGCAGTTCAAGAAATCTGTGTAATTTTCCCCCTCAGCTGATGTAAGAATGGAGAAAATCACAGTGAACATCCACATCACATACCTACAGACCCTGTATCAGTACTTCCTCCAGGCTCTACAGACAGACACACCCACCACCCCCTCCCCCAGGGACAGTACCAGTGTGGATGGGGGAGATTTCCCAGACTCTCCAGCACCGGAACCCCAGCCCACAGGAGTATTTACATTGTATGGGACCATCAAACAGCCTGAATTTATTCTTCATGGAAGTCCGGGTCCAAATGATGACAGAATTCTTGTTTTAGAGGTTTCTTATTAGTATTTTATTTGCCAAGTTCACAAAATATTGTCATTTCATATAATACAGTAATCCCTTTTTTAAAGATAAAATTTTTAAATTAAATGGTTAACTGAAACACTTTCAGTCAGGAGTTTCCTTATAAGGGTGTTTGTCATGAGATACTAGTACATAGTATTACATATATAACTTACTTGAATCATTGTTTGAATGTGTTTTTCAAACCAGTATACATCAGTTCTTCAATTCTCAAGATTAATTAATCAATAGAAAACCTTGTCAAAGAAAAGTGGGAAATCCTCCTCAATAGCATTTTTATTTATTTTATCAGGCAGATATAGAATTCAACATGAAAAATGACAGTTCAGAACAGATACTGGGATCAACAGTCAAAGACTTAAAAATGTACAACTCAAGGATAGGGTCCAAGGCAACCTCTAAACACTGGGTAAGTACACCTGTTTTGACAAAAAAGGCAACCTTCAAACAAACAGACAGACAACCTCCCAGTAGTGGGTAAATGAAGACAGAAAGACAGACAGATAGACAGACAGACAACCTTCAAAGTAGTCAATAAATGTAGACAGACTGACAATTTCCCAGTAGTGGGTAAAAGTAGACAGATAGACAAAGTCCGATTAGTGGGTATGTAGATGGACAGATATCTGGTATCTATTACCTGTATACAGGTGATACAGCCCTGTAAGGTACACATGGAGAGGAGTGTGGGGGACAACCATGCCCACCACTAGGTGTCACTGTCTGTAGTACATGTATTTATAGTATCTGTTATCTGTGTACAGGTGATATAGCCATGTAAGGTAGACTTGGAGAGGAGGGTGGGGGATAACCACGCCCACCACAAGGTGTCACTGTCTGTAGTATTTATAGCATCTGTGGGGGATAACCACGTCCACCACTAGGTGTCACTGTCTGTAGTATTTATAGTATCTGTTATCTGTATACAGGTGATACAGCCCTGTAAAGTAGACTTGGAGAGGAGGGTGGGGGATAACCACGCCCACCACTAGGTGTCACTGTCTGTAGTATTTATAGTATCTTTGGGGGATAACCACGCCCACCACTAGGTGTCACTGTCTGTAGTATTTATATCTGTGGGTGATAACCACGCCCACCACTAGGTGTCACTGTCTGTAGTATTTATAATATCTGTGGGTGATAACCATGCCCACCACTAGGTGTCACTGTATGTAGTATTTATAGTATCTGTAATCTGTATACAGGTGATACAGCCATGTAAGGTAGACTTGGAGAGAAGGGTGGGGGATAACCATGCCCACCACTAGGTGTCACTGTCTGTAATATTTATAGCATCTGTGGGGGATAACCATGTCCACCACTAGGTGTCACTGTCTGTAGTATTTATAGTATCTGTAATCTGTGAACAGGTGATACAGCCATGTAAGGTAGACTTGGAGAGGAGGATAGGGAATAATCACACTCACCACAAGGTGTCACTGTATAGTATATTTAGTTTCTGTAATCTGTATACAGGTGATACAGCCATGTAAGGTAGACTTGGAGAGAAGGGTGGGGGATAACCACGCCCACCACAAGGTGTCACTGTCGGAGCTGGAGGTGTATGTGACACCACAAGTCATCCGTCTGGTGTATGACGTCTCCAAGATGTTGACAAGTGATGAGGAAACTAAGGTAATAAATGAAGTGAAACTATTGTGTTGAAAGTGAATAAGATTACTAGACAATTTGTGTAAAAAGGACTATATTCAGTAATGACCAAAATTTGCCCCCAAAATCAAACTTTGACGGAGAAATATATAATTATGTTCTAAAACAGGGAAATATCTGCAGACTTCAAAGCACTGAATATTTTCATAAGCCATGACGCCATATGTTAGATATGACATCAGAAAGATGACGTAAATTCCAAATTTCCATGATTTATACAGAAAAAGTGCATATTACGTCGATATTTTGAGTAAAAGTCACTGAGCGCAGGTCTGCTCCAACTCAATATTTTGATATAATGTGTAGAATGATGATATCAATGAAATATGTAAATATTGTTCTTGAGCAGGCCTGCGCTCTATAAATTTTATAGAAAAAATTGAACAAATTTTGTCCATTTTTTCCTTTTTCTGAAAAATAACACAAAATCCGAATAGTTTGTGACATGATAGAAACAAAAGTTGCCAATAATCTACTTCAAAACTGTAATATTTTTTGTTAATTTAGATTTCTCACACAATATATACAATTAAGCCATTTCAAGAAATTTTCAAAATATGACTTTTGTGGGGGCAAAAATGTGCATATACCGCATATAGTTCTTTGTTAAATTGAATTGCAAAAATTGGCATGTGCTTTTAAAATTGTGAGTTTTTTTCTGTTTTTGTGAAAAAAAGCACCTTTTTTTTCAAAATTTTAGGAATTTTTGTCGTAAAGAACTAGACAAAGGTGTTTTAATTGAATTTTCTTAAAGCAAATTTTAATGTATAGTATTTACAGAATGATATAAACTTGGGGGGATGGTAAATATTTCACACATAGAATTTTAATTCTAGTTTCCATTTACTTCTGTAAGCAGTGTAATGTTATTGTATTTATTGATTTTACATGTACAACAGGAAGAAGTAAAAGAGAAGAAGGACCCCAAACAATTCACCAATCTGTGGAGTATTCACCAAACCTCTGCCGGAAAATGGCTAGACAAAATAGGTAACATTAATACTCAATGTAATTCACAAGCAAGAAAATGAACATACGGTGTTTGCTGGTTTAATTTCAGATGGGTTATGTATTTCTAATTTAAAACAAAATGTGTTTATGAAACACTATGCCCCTGATGGTAACACAATTCTAGAGTGAGACGTAGACTACAGTGCAATAATTATGGCCAATGTTAAAGTTTTCAAATGTAGGTCAAAGGTCACAGTTGAGGTCACATGATCAAAAATTTCTGTACTAATGGAAAGGTCATAATGAACACTCATGTCAAATATTAAATCCTTACCCTTGACAGCACAATAGTTATGGGCTAGGTTAAAGTTGACAACAGACAAACAGACAGACAGGGCAAAAACAATATACCCCCGGGATCTTTCAATTCGGGGGCACAAAAACCAATTTTTCTTTGCAAGTATACAGGAAAACACTGTTAAAAGGAACACACTTTTAATGAAACACCTAAAATATATATATTTTTTTACTTCTAAGTCCCCTTTCTCTCCACCACATTCTCCCACTCCATACTAAACTCTATATGTATGACCTTGTTATCCACATTCTATTTATAGATCCAGAGAAGCCTTCTAACCCTCTAATCCCCAAAAGTACCCCATCAGAGACACTACTGGTTACCGTGGAGAAGATCAATGTGTATTTCCGGATCCGGAATCTGGATCACCATGTGGATTTACTCCATGTGTACTGCTCTCTGGATTCCACAATCCATGACTGGTCTAAACAGGTTAAACTTGTTGATAATTATAATAAAGTGATATAAAGCAAGAAGAAAGATGAATCAGTTCTCAGCTGTTGAATAACATTTGCTAGAAAGTTGAAATGCATCTTTTTTTGTACTTAATATATCAGCATATGTATATTTGAATGGAATTGCATGTTATAATTTTAAAATAATTTATTGTAAAATGTAGTTACCTTCAAGGTGAAAACTAACTCATGTATAAAATTTTGAAATAATTATTTTATCAATTATTAAAATCTAATTTTATAGTTACATATGAAGGCTGACTTGGAACTGAAGGCATCTTACTTCAATGAGAAACTGAGTGTCTGGGAACCACTAGTGGAACCTGTCTGTGAATCTGTAGGTGTATACAGACCCTGGTGGACCATTATAAAGGTTAGTGTGTATGTGTCTGTGGGTGTCTATAGACCCTGGTGGACCATTATGAAGGTTATTGTCTCTGTGTTCTTGGGTATCTATAGACCCTGGTGGACCATTATAAAGGTTAGTGTCTGTGTGTCTGTGGGTATCTATAGACCCTGGTGGACCATTATAAAGGTTAGTGTCTATGTCTCTGTGGGTGTCTATAGACCTTGGTGGACCATTATAAAGGTTAGTGTCTTTGTGTCTGTGGGTGTCTATAGACCCTGGTGGACCATTATGAAGGTTAGTGTCTTTGTGTCTGTGGGTGTCTATAGACCCTGGTGGACCATTATGAAGGTTAGTGTCTGAGTGTCCAAGGAAAGAAGGAGTTTCATTAAGACTTTTCTTTGAAGAAAAAAAGTGAATTCTAAAATCATTTATGCTCATGATATTGACAGATTGTAAAGGGCCGGAGCTACCCTATGGCCTTTAACCATGTCCAAGAAAACTTCAACATGGAGGATTGTTTGAGAAATGATGTTCAACAGCTGCTTCACCGCAGCATGAAGCGGTCCAGCACCTCCGAGTCCGAGACTGACGAGTCCACAGAAATGACTGTCCTGAGACCAAAGTTAACTGGCAGGGCATCAAGACTGGCCAGTGAACGCAGTCATGGTAGGTGGAGATTGTAAATGGTTTTTATAAGATTTTATTGGATTGCTGATACTGATATATAAATAAATATGTAAATGAGCTAGCTTGTGTGCTGAGAAAAGCACTTCACTTGAATTGATAAATATTGTACTAATCTGGAGATCTTTGTGACTGTATACATACAGAGTTAACTTTGTAGCTGCATTGGTATATAATTAAGCTTTTGAAGTATTGGTTGTGAAAACTTGGGTTTGTTTAGCCCATTTATTTCATTCAGAATATTGACCTAAAATTTACACTCATACATACATGTACAGATATATAATTATTATAAAGTTCCATGATCATTTGCACACTATTTGACAAGTTCAGTTTGATAATTTAGTGCTTATAATGCCTCATTATGGAGTGCGTGAGTTTGACCCAATTTAGATACATATTGCACTAGAAACTAAAGCTTTCATAACTGTAATCCTCCCAAACCCTTCAGGAATAGTTGTCTGTAGATAAAGTGATGCTAGCTCTGCATGGTTTTAGTGAATTGTTCAAAATAGGTGGTGGTGTGGGAGATTGTGCAAAAACTGTTATCATACTTTCAAAGTTTATCACCAGTTGTTGATGTACAATAGATCCTTGCTAGTTTTTTCTGAAATTATGCAACTTAAAACACCAAGATCCTTTTCCAAATAGCGTGACTAGTCTGCTTGGCTGGTAGATACACAGATTAGGTGTTTGTTGGTCAGCATTAGTCATCTCTCAGGGACATTGTCCATGATCTGTCTTACTGCTATAGATTTGTAAGTGTGTGGTTTTACAGAATCACTCAGTCATCAGCCAAGTATACAAGGAGAGTCTGACACAGAACCAGACGGGTTGATTCAGAGCATCACAAACAAACTTGGGGGAATTTTCTCTGATGACGACAGCAGTGAGGATGCGGATATTAGTGACACGGATGATAATGATGAACTGTTTGATCCCTCTTTGGATAAACCTGTATTTCTTACTCCTAAAGGGCCCATGCAGGCTGGAAGGGGTATATTGATTGTTGTTACTGGAATAGAAAATGCTTATGCTTGCATTTTATATAACCTTTGAATTAGCTATGCTGCATTTTCCCTGCAGATCAGATTTGGTTTCTTTTTAACCTTTTTTTACTCTTCATTTTAAACATAATGCTTGCCTTGTTTTGAATGCAGAATGTACAATTTATTTATGACATCAGTGGGAAAAGTAACTTTTTTGCATGCCATTTCCTATGGTGCTATTTTTTTGTTCACTTGAATTTTTTTCAGCATTATAATTATAGCATTCTCCCTTCATTACATCCTTGGCCTACCTTTTGTTGTTTTCAAACAGAAGAGTTACTTCCTGTCCTCACTGCTCTTGCTTTGCACCACACAGAGAAGGTTTAAATTTCTTGTTTCATTTTCCCCTCCCTAGATTTTTATGTACTTTCATTTTTATCCTTTTTGTTTTGATTTGACCAGGTTGCATGATTTTTATACTGTGGAAGTAAAGAGAAATAATTGAAAATAACTACATGTATATATACACTAACTCCTCATTCTTTTTTTTTTGTCCATGATTAAAGCTTTCATAAATTTGTATAGGAATATCAAAGCAATGCCACATATATAATAAAATTCCTCCTTGAACAATAAATTACTGCAGTTTTATGTTGTTCTTGACTTCCATGAAGAGAAATTGTGCAGACCTGTCCACTTAACCTTAAAATGTTTAAGTAACCTGTATTCCTAGTATGCTAACATGAAACATTGAGGTATCAGATGTATCCCTTGATTGTATTTGTCATTTCTAAATGGTTTCAAACATAAAGAGAAAATTGTAAATTGCTCATCTTCACGTTCAGTTGAAAATTCTGAACCTGTTTTAGCTCACTTCAACCATGTTTAGGTGATACTGGCTTTATCTCTCAAAAAGATTTATATTTGTTTAATCTGTAAACTCTTATTACCTTCTTTCATATATAGCTTTAGGTTTAAAAAGTGAAATCCTAGTGTTAAGAATCGTTTCCTATGACCTTTAATTGTACAGTAATGTAAATAACCATACAGTGGTTTGTTTGTATCATTTTCATGTAATTGTATCATTTCTCTATTTATTTTGATTACATGATTAGAATACCTAGAATAGCACTACACAATGTTTTTTTTTTTATTTATCTATGAAAAAAATTATTCAAAATTATTTTCACAAGGAGTGTTAACTTGAAAAAAAAAATCAAAGTTTAGAAATAAGGTGGTAATACTGACTTTAGAATGTAGAAAGAAAGAAAGTGTAATTTAAGAACATTTTCACCATAAAAACTTTCAGCAGACTTGGATGAAGTTGATGCACCACTTTTGACGTCAGAACAGGACACCATAGAGGAAGGAGAAGCAGGGGGTGATGTTCCTCAGTCTTATTATTTTATAATGGCCTCACAGGACCAACTACTCCTCAATGTCACCCCTCAGGCCATTAATGTACTGACTGACATCAACAAGGTAAATATGCACTGAATTGTCTACGGATTTTTCGTGTTTTTTTTTTTTTATCATGACAAGGTGCACACAGCGGGGGCAGGGGATGCTCGCTCCTCCTTGGCACAAGATCCCAACTCTAAATTTGAGGTCCATGTTTTCTCTGCTCCAAATTTGTATTATTTCATTGGACTTTCAAGATTGAATACTGTTCGTTATCTTCATATTTCATACAGATGTGACTTTATAATGTCCTCACAGGACTTATTGCTTCTTAATATCATCCAATGTGTAGGTAAAAATACAGGTGTAAATTTTATGTTGATTCACATGAACTTCTTATTACCATCACATACACTGTATCACACAGGCCAATAATGTACTGATGGACATCAACAATGTTAAAGTACAGGCCCAACTTTGTTTCTACTTAGTATACTGACCTTAAAGGACCAATGACACCCCAACATTTTGTGTCAATTTACTTGAAATCACTAATATCAGCTAAAGAAACTTTGGGGTTTAGTTTCAAATTGATAATACATGTACAAGGCAATTACCAGTAACAGTATGGAGTATTATTAAATGCTTATACCTAAATGCATCCTTTCTTTTAAATTTCTTTGCTGTCTTTTGCAAATAAATGATTTATAAATGAAGGTAGAATTTAAATACTGTAAGACATCTAATTTTTGTTTTATTATCAGGCCATGACAGCACCTGAGACACTGGAAATGGACACTGTTAACCTACCAGCACTACAGATAATAAACAAGGTTACAGAGGATTTTGACTATAATCAGGATAGAGAAACTTTCTGATATTAAAAAGAAATAACATTTTATGAACTATATTAATCTGTGGACAATAACACAAGATATGGTTGTTGACTCAGTTTCACATGAACATGTAAATTGAAAATAATTTCATGATTTCTTTTGGTTGTAAAAGTTTGAACTGTAGCATTAGCATTTCATTCTATTCATTCTCTTTAATGATTTAGCTTGGTGTCAATGCTTCAGTGACTCTGCATCCAGATGTCAAGGTAAATATAAACAAGATTAGGATTCACTTTATATTTAGTAGTGTACAAAATTTTCAAGTTTAAGCAGCTGCTGTACAAATAAGTGTAATTTCTAATGATTGAATGCATAATAGTGTAGAAATAAAGTTAACTTGAATAACAAATTGCATGACTGTAATTTGTTTTATGGCTCTATATGGAAGATATTCTAATTGATTTCATTGAATTTATTTCTCTCTGAAAAAAAAAGTAAATATACATGTATTTTGAATGTGACTATCTCACATTGTATTTTACAAATTCATCATGATAATATATTTTTAAAAAAGTAAAAAGAAAATTTTTGTAGATTCACCCAGAAAATATAGAGGGTTGTCAAGTGTACAAAGATGGGGAAAATCCCCCCGCTTGTGATGTTGACACTGTTGATGCAAATGGACTGGAAATTAAAAGGTTTTGAATCTTTTTTTCTTTTTATATATTGCACAAGCGTACATAATTATGCAGACTCATAATTATTATCTTAAACTCAAATTAAAGCCTTCTCAATCTTTATATCATGATTTAAAGAAAAAAAGTTTATGAGTTGTACACATCAAACATAACTAATGCTGTCCTGAAAATTAATTACCCATCTGTTTATAGTGAGACCGACGAAGCTGATGGACTGATCTCAAACATCTTGGGTCGAGTGGGTCATGTGGCAGTGTCAGCAGGGGCATATGTGTTTGACAATGATGAGGATTACTTGTCAGGACAGAATCTCAATATCAACAGGTTCAGACTTCATGTAAGTCAGCATCAAAAAGTTCCGACTTCAAATAAGTCAGCATCAACAGATTCAGGCTTCATGTAAGTCAGCATCAACAGGTTCAGACTGCATGTAAGTCAGCATCAACAGGTTCAGACTGCATGTAAGTCAGCATCAGCAGGTTCAGACTCCATATAAGTCAGCATCAACAGGTTCGGGCTTCATGTAAGTCAACATCAATAGGTTCAGACTTCGTGTAAGTCAGCATCAACAGATTCAGACTTCATGTAAGTCAGCATCAACAGGTTCAGACTTCATGTAAGTCAGCATCAACAGGTTCAGACTGCATGTAAGTCAGTATCAACAGGTTCTGACTGCATGTAAGTCAGTATTAACAGTTTAAGACTTCATGTGAGTCAGTTCAACAGGTTCAGACTGCATGTAAGTCAGTATAAACAGGTTCTGACTGCATGTAAGTCAGTATTAACAGTTTAAGACTTCATGTGAGTCAGTTCAACAGGTTCAAACTTCATGTGAGTTAGCATCAACAGGTTCAGACTTCATGTAAGTCAGCATCAGTAGGTTCAGACTTCATTTAAGTCAGCATCAATGGGTTCAGACTTCATATAAGTCAGTTTCAACAGATTCAGACTTCATGTAATCAGCATCAATAAATTCAGATTTCATGCAAGTCAGTATCAACAGGTTCAGATGTGGATTTAAGGCAGCATCAACAGTTTCAGACTTGAATTCATACAAGTCAGCATCAAGAGGTTCAAACTTGAATTCATATAAGTCAGCATTAAAATGTTCAGACTTCATTTAAGTCAGCATCAACAGGCTCAGACTTAATCTAAATCAGCATCAATAGGTTCAGACTGCATGTAAGTCAGTTTCTAAAAGTTCATGCAAGTCAGTATGAAAAGGCTCAGACTTCATGTAAGTCAGCATTGAAAGGTTGAAACTTCACATAAGTCAGTATCAACAGGTTCAGAATTCATCTAAGTCAGTATTAACAGGTTCAGACTTCATTAAGTTATCACTTCATGTAAATCATTATCAACAGGTTCATACCTCATGTAAGTCATTATTTATAGGCTCAGTCTTCATCAACAAGCTTAGACTTAATGTAAGTTGCATTGTTCATGACCGTTAGAATCCACTAAGTTGTTGCTTTACCTTCCTTACTCTTGCTCAACCTCAAGGGAACAATATACCAAAACAATTCATTAAATAGTTGTCAGTGAGTTATATTTGAAGTTTCCTAGCTACAAACACAAGATAGTATGTCAACAACTGAATCAGGTCATCTATGCACAGTTACACATTTTATGTCATCTCGCAGCTATATGTAAGTGAATATCAATGATAAGCTGCACTTGTGACAGTTAAATGTATTTGACATGTTAAATATATTTGACATGTTTAATATATTTGACATGTTATTTTCCAGTGACAGTTAAATGTATTTGACATGTTAAATGTATTTGACATGTTATTTTCCAGTGACAGTTAAATGTATTTGACATGTTATTTTCCAGGACTTGAGTTACTAATTTCTTTGTTTTACATGTGGATTCATTGATAAGGCTGTATATAGTTAATTGATGTGTTATTTTACAGGTGGATGGGTTCCACTTATCCTCCACTGTGTCACACAGAAGGGCCTGTCGCCAACTCATGCCTCTGTCTCCACACAAGGTATCTAAAGTACAACCTGTTTTAATTACATCACAGTATATAAACTTAGCCAGTTGTACTGAAATTTTAATAATCATTAACAGTAATTACTGCTATCATTACTAATTTGGACTTCTTTTGTTTCATACTTCAGCTATTATATATAAAAAATTACTATGGAGAGACTATAGTTTGAGTACAATTATATTTCTATTGTTGTATGGGGGTTAGGGGAGGGAGATAATGGAATAAATATTAAGAAAAATTTAAAACAATGGTTAACGTTTTCAACAATTTAAAGGGTAATAATGTTTTAGAATAGTTATTGACTTAATTTAATTTTCTTTCATCTTGTTACCAGACAGATCAGGTAAATGAACTTTAGAAATAGGCTCACCAATGTATGGCTTAGTGTTTGTTGTCATGCATGTTTATATCAGCTTTAATCTACTTGGGGAAAAAAATCAAGTTTTACATTGTTATGGCTTCTACCCCTGTGGAGTTCCAGTCCATCTTGTTCTGTGGACTCCGAGTATATTATTTCTGAATCAACAGATTTTGATTTTTGCATTCTATTGTTATGTTTTGAATGATGCTGCATGAACAAATAGTTAAATTTAAAGTAAAATGAACAAAACTGTACATAAGAATCCCTGTGTTCATTTAAATGTTGTTAAATTTTTTTTCAATATTATATAAATTATCAACTTTTGATTATTTTAATTTAATGTTTAAAAATTAGTAATATTTTGACATTGTGTATTATGTTTCTTTTCTCTGCTTTCCTTTAAAAAACATTAAGGTTTATTTTTTATTTTATGAATGATTTATGTCATTACTACTGAAGTTTTTTTTTTTTCTGTCAATTACAGCACAAGACAAAGTACTGGTACTTGTTAGACATTGATGTATGGCACGGAAGGAAAGTCATCAACTTCCTGTCTCCTCTACAGGTTAGTTAAGCGGGAAGGGGGGGTCATGTTAACCTGCAGAACATTTTGGGGGTGGGGGCATACATAAAGCTGATATGTAGAAATTCTTTATGTTGACGGACCAAATAACATTTATAAAGATGGTTAAAATTTTGTAATAGAGTGGGCCACATAAGGAAACATGCATGGATAATATAATGCACAATACCCTTTTTACAAAAATAAGAAGATTGCACCTCTAGAAAGTCATATTGATTTTCGATCAACATTTAAGCTTTGTTTTTTGATGAAATAATTATGTGGCATTAATATTTTATTATTTTTCAGATAAAGAATAACTTGGATATGTCCATGGATGTGTTCTGTAAAACTAAAGATCTGAAGACATACCAGGATGTGGAGAGTGACAATGAAGAGTTCTCCAAACTGGTTACCATAGAGACAGGACAGGTGTATAATGTCCCATTGTTTGTAGCCTACCATCTGGACTTGTTCTTGTGTCCCTCAGATAGCAGGTGAGCACAGTAGAACTCACTTAGAAGAAATTCTTGGTTATAAGGTTGTAACAATCTTTTCCACATTGTTCATATCATTAAAAATTCTTAAATAGATATTTATAATTTTGTTTATAAAGAACCAAAAATTTATGTTCCTTTTTAAGCAAGTTATTTTGCATTCATAAATTTAAATTTGTTTTGTTTTAAAAAAAAATTACTTATGCAAAATACTCAACCAAAAAAGTAGTAAATTGAAATACATGTACATGTACTTCCCAAGAAATTACATGATTTTGTGTCATTTGTGATCGGTTTTTGCTTTGTATTACAGCTACAAGATGACACAGACAAAGATTTGGTGGAAGGATTTCTCAGGGAAAGAAAAATCTAAGATTTATACCTGTCCTGTGGCAGAGGCTGACTTAGAACCATTTTATTTCATGGTGAGGAAAAATAAAACTATTGTTATACTGTGTGATATAAAATCATTGATGAGAAATTGTGAAATATTAATAATTTATTGTTCCACTGTAAATATTTTTAACTTTCTAAGATTAAAGATTTTTGTTTTATTTGTGAGTTGATATCGTTCTGTTTTACTTTAAGGTCATCTGTTCCGATGGTAGTAAACTGGTTCCCGCACAGACAGTACCTACAGGAGTCCCATATTACCAGCTGTCCTTAAGTCCACCAGTCATACTTCATAATTATCTCCCTTACAACATCCAGTACTCACTAGAGGTTAGTATCTCTCTTTTTGGAAATGTTAAATATAATATAGTCTTAATATGCTAAGTTTAAAATATGAATTGTCAAATTCTGCATACAACGGTAGAAGAACAGGTTCTGGGTATTTTCGAGATATGAATCTAAACACACATGCATGTTTTATTTGTAATAAAAGTATTTTAAAGACATTTTGGATTCATAGTTTATAGTTTATAAATGTAACAATGGACAGGTGATTTAAGTAGTTCTAAACTATGTCATTTAATTAATACAGTAACTGATTTCAAGTTTCATCGACATGCTTTATGTAGAAAATAATTACATGCAAACTTATGTACATGTACTATATATCCTAACACTAGAGCTATGCATATATAGAAATATGCCTCTCTTACTCTTACAAACATACAGCCATATAATGTCAGACATTTATAAAACTATATTTATGTCTATATTAAATCTGTTTGATAGCTGTTTTTAACTAGTTCTACTTATGATTAATTACAGGCAGCTGTGAGTATTATACAATGTTATAATTATATACACAGACTTTGTGAGTTTGGGAAATGATTTCTGATTAAGTTTCATTTGATACAGTATTGCTGTGCTATAACCACTCATTTCCAGAGGTTTAGAAATATAGATAATTATATTTCATGGCAGTACAATAGGAAAACCTTGGTTACAGTTTTTAGACTAGAAGATCTTTAATTTGTTATTTCAGTCTTCCCTGTAGAATGATTTATTGCTCTCTTTGGAGGAAAAGTGACAAAATATTTATATTTAGAATTTTTGGTTGCAATCCAGTAACTGTTGTGAGTTAAACCTGCAATGAGCTTAGAAAAGGAACATCATTAGTAGAGTTATAATAGGTGCTCTTTCCTAACTTACACTAGTAGGAGACACAAACTTGGTTCATCGTATCTGTCACCATATTTTGATTGATGAGGAAAAATGTTTTGTTTTGTGGGCAAGTGTACAATTTACACCACTATAAGTATTGTATATATATCACACAATATTGCAGCTTTAATCTGTAAAGAACCATATTTTTTTGTAATTAGTAATTATACACAATGCTTAGCCTTTTGTATTAATGGCACAGTCAGTCACATGATTTTAGATAGTTTGAAATGTTGATGTTTTAAAAGTACTTGTATTTATTATCAATAACTTTTTTAAAAAATATATATATGTTTATCGATCAGGACAAATATTTTTTTATTTAATTAAGATTATGATTTTAATTTTACTTGGGAAAAAAGAAAACAAATCTTGAGAATGTGTTTTAATTCTTGCATCCTCATTTCACTGATTCTTGATAACTGGTAATGGGTACAAAAACTCTAAGACTTCTGAATGCAGTATTAAATAAATGCAGTATTGAAAATAAAAACATAAAACTGATATTTAAAATAAAATCAGTGGACAAATTTATAGACAGTTTTATCTTAATATTAAATAAATGTGAAAGTTGTTTGCTCTAGTATTAAGCAAGTGAATTTGCTAATAGAAGTTATTTACTGTTATTTTGTTTTCTTTTCTATCACTAGGGGACACGGTCAGCCTTTGTGATGCTACAGATGGGAGAATCCTGTCATTTACACAGTGTGGACCTCAAACAGAGCTACAAATTACATCTACAGGTCTGTTATACTTGTATATGCATATCATGTAACTTTGCAAACTTTATCATTCTTTACATTAACCGCCGAAACATGGCTGAAATATTGCCGACTCGGCGTTAAACAATAAACAATCAATCAAACAATCTTTACATTAAATAACACTACAGTTGAATTTTAGTATCTCAAACACCATACTCTCGAATACCATGAATATGTCGAAGTGTTTTTGAATTCTTAACCAATCATTCTTTAATTATGTTTCCCTGAATATCTCAAATCCTTGGATATGGAATTCTTCTCTTGGTCCAACTGAGATTGAGATAATGAGGTCTGAATCAATCTATGTAAAGTCCTGCTCCAATTTTTATGACATGATTTTAAGTAATTAATATATGTAGTTTAAACTTAACACTTTTTATGACTTCACTGGTATGTATTAATTATGTATTAATTACAAAAAGATGACTCAAGGCCATCATTAAAAATATCTTTGTTTCCCCTAACCCGACCCGAAAATTTCAAGTTGAGTAGGTAGGTAGGTAAATTATTATTTTTTTCTGACAGCAGTTTTGAAAATACATTCTTAAAATTGAATAATATCTGTATAAATAAAAAAGAACAAAAGAAACCGATTTTTAAACCGAATATCATACAAATGAAATTTAACATGTATGGTAAATTAATTCACAAATATTATTCATTCGAACTTAATTTTAAATTTATTGAAATTGAATTTTTACAGAAAGACAAGATTCGCAAAACTCAACCATCGGCCATCCGAGTATATTTTTTTTAAACCTACTATCATCTTCGAGTGCTTACACAGATAAAATGTCATGGGCCTCGCATGGCGCAGTAATTCTAGTGTTTCGTTTTGGAGTCACGACGTAATTCAGGAGCTTATTCTAAGTCACAGGTCCCGGCATGGGGCGTGGAAACTGGTCAGTCAAATGAGACCGTAAAAAACGAAGGGCCATGCAGTGTCACAGTATACATGTAGATGTTGGCACGATAAAGATCCCTTACTGATGCTTTACATGTATGACCAATGGCCATAAGTGCCGAGAAAAAGTCTAAATTAGGAGCCCTCCACCAGGCAGGTGTTCAAATGTTGTCGACCCAGCAATTTTTAAAGGTATTTTAAAGCACAGAAACAACCTATTTTCAAGGGCCTAACTAAAGAAAAGAAAAATACACTGGACGTCTCAGGAAGCCGTACCATACGCCAACTTGAAAGATTTCAACACTATTTGAAAAGAGAGTACCTGTATAAACAATATTTGATTCAACCAAACCATATCTAAAATGATTAAAGTTTCATATATCTAATGTTATAGTCACGAAGTTTACCCCATAAATAAAAGGAATGAAGAAACAACATCCGAATTATATTTATCAAGATGAAATAATTATACAACGATATATTTACAAATCCTATGGTCCTATATAGTAAAAATAGAATCATACATGAAGTGTTTTTTAGGTCAAAACGAATGAAATGCAGTGAAATTTATTGATATGCATACACAAAGTGGGCCCCTCATCTGCTCCTGAGGCAAGCTTTGTCATGCTTACTACGTTCGTTAATTTTAGAAGACACATTTGTAAATACCATCTGAACACTCCTTAGTCATGGCACATTAATTCACGAGATGTCTCAAGAGTGTAGGATTCTAGTTAAAGAGGTATAATAAGATTGATACATCGCCGTTGTTTTATAACACTAAATAACCCTCTGTGGCCACATGTTGTGGGCGCCAAATGAGAGTAAAAACAAAAGTCGCCATTCTGATAAAAAACGAATTTTGATGAAATTGTATTTTATAAAGTTGATAAACAATAAAAATAAATATTTGAATAATCTTATTAAAAAAACTTTTCAGTCAGCACGATTTAAGTGGGTCGGTCACGTTAGGGGAAACAAAGCTATTTTTTATTTTGGCCCAATCTATATTATTTATGTACAAAGTCTAATTAAATCACATCATTCAACAAACATGGACAATCTTCAGTAAGTTTTAAAACAGATTTCAAGGAAATGATATAATAAGTACCATTAGCAAAATCATTTTGTCAATATGGTATACATCTCCAGGTCATTTCTTGATTTTCTTTCACAGATCCAAGATTATCAGAGTATAGACTGGACAGGGGTGTATGAAATCACACAGGCCTTGGAAGAGTTCAAGGCTGTCTCCATGGCACCATATGACTTTGGTAATGAGGGAAACAACAACAAGTATTTGACCTTGACTGTTCATGCCACCCAGCATTCTATGGTTGACCTCTATGTATACAGTCCATACTGGCTGGTCAATAAAACAGACCTGGTTATTCAGGTCAAGGTGAGCAATTATAACGAATCTGTACCTGTTTGATATATCTATTTACCTGTTAACATTTCCCATGCATATCATGAATTATAGCATTAGTATGTTGCTTGTTAGAGTGTGGATTAAGAAGGGGGGAGGGGGTATATAGATATTACATGTTGTGATTTTGTTTTTGTAGGGGAGGGGAATCTTTAAAAAAAATTATACTAAATTCTTATAGTTTGCAAATATTCAGTTCAATTTACATGCATCTCAGCTGAATATGATTTTTTTTCTGCAGGGTTCTAAATCAGATGCTGTGTTTGATTGTCCATCAAACCTTACTTCTCCTGTTTTATTCCGATTCAAGAAAAATAGACCAAAGAAGGTACATGTAATATTGATAATAGGAAAGAAACTAAAGTAAATTCTTTTCTTTTTGAGATTTTTATAGATTCCTAATAATATGTACTACATGTTTTCCCTGTTTTGATTGTTAGGCGAAGATAAAGGTGTACAACTCTCGATGGTCACAGTCGTTTTCTCTGGACACAGTAGGGAACTCTGGTGTGGTGATCTGTAACGACAGAGAGAGGAAAACTAAGTATAGGGTGAGTAACTTCTAAAAGGCCAGAAATCTATTCACCAGTGGAAAAAAAATCTATGGAAAGAACTTTCATTGCTTATGCCTTTATTGAATGTTATAAAGAATTTCCTTAAAATCATAAGTAGTGTAACACTTGCTAATATTAATGGGAGAAACACAACATTTATATATATATATATATATATTAGTTGATAGCCCCATCTTCAGAAAAGAGATGGAGCTTCTTTCTTGAAGCTCTGATCTATAAAATAAAATGTAAATTGAATTTGAAAATATTAAATGAAAATATTTCATTTTGCACTAACTTCTATCTTCCCAAATAAAAATTGTTTTCAAGGCATATACATGTAACATGTTGTGAAGTTTTATGCTATTTTGTATCAAATGTTTGTTGTTTAACGTCCCTCGACAGAATTTTTCACTCATATGGAGATGCCACCACTTACCAGTGGAGGGCTGCAAATTTATGCCAGGTTGTATGTCCGGCACTCAGGGCCATTGAGCAGTGAAGGATCTTTTTCATGCCAACATCTACTGTGACACGGGACGTAGCTTATGCTGTCTCATCCAGTCTTCACGTCCCCGTATCATTTGAAATTGCTATATAAACCATTTTATGCTTTGTTTGCAGCTGATGCTCCAGTTCCAGTGGTCTGATCTGAAGCTGACCAGAATTGTGACCATCACTCCATTCTTTCTGGTGGTCAATAAGTCCTCTCGTGGTCTGAGGTATATGGAGGAGAATGAGACCACAGATCTGTGGCTGGACATCGCAGAGGGCGAGGTAAGGAAGATATAAAACACAGAAATCATTCAATATATAATATATATTATACATGTTAGCATAAGTGTGAATTTTGCATTTAACTTCAAAATACAATGACAATTTAAAAAAAAAAAAACTTGATGATAATTATTGATTGAAACCAATAATACAGGAATTCAAAAGTTATATATACTTTCACACATTCTTTTATAACTATATTGCATTTATTCATCAAGATCACCTATGTCGTTACAAAAAAAATGAGAAGGAAAATATTTAGAGCCAGACATCTTAAAGGATTTCAACTGGAATTGTGCATTTCATTTAGTAAGCTTGTCATTGATAGTAAACTTAATTTTCAGTGTAAGCCCTATTGGCCAGCCACATCCAGTGATAAAATGGTGATTAAATACAGTGACAGTAACATTACATCAGAACACTTCCCAATCAACAGTCTCCATAACACTGTGCTGAGGATGGAGAATGGGGTAGGAACATCTATTGTAGCTTTATCATTTTATCAAAATCTTCTCTCTTTACAATTATTATTACATGTAAATACAGTCGACTCTATGTACCTTAAACTCAGTGAGAGTGAGATAAAGTTTGAGCTATATGAAGATTTGAGATATTGAGGTTAAAACACATAAGTGTAATGTATTTTGGACTTCCAACTCCCTTAACTGATATATCCGTGTCATGGTATATTCATGATATTCAGGATATCAGTATACAAGATACCAAAGTTCAACTGTAAAATTAATATAAAAATTAAATTCATCTGTGTCAGCATTCAACAATTTAATATGAAGATGATCGTGTACTCTTTTCTCCTGTTATAAAGTAATTTGTTGTTTCTTCCAGACGGCTATATGTGTGGAGGTGTCGGGGGGACTAGAGACATCCAGGACTATCTCCTTCTCTGACTATGACATCGGTGATGCTCCTGTACAGATAGAGAACCTGTGTGAGGACGTCTTCATTGTCGTCAGACAAAAGTAAGATGTCTAAAGGGGCCTGATGATTGAATAGTGTAGTTCATATTAATATCTAGAAGGAGGCCTGGAGGATATAGTATTGGCTTCCATTTTGGTTTAAAAGCAGTAGGAACATATGCATGTATATATTGTTTATCCCCCAAAAATGAACACGTTTTTGTAGGGGCCAGCACCAGATGACAGTGTTGGGAGAGAACCAGTCTATACTTTATACGTGGGACAATCCTACTGGTACACGCACACTACTGTGGAATGTTTATAATGGAAAGAAAAGTCAGGAGTCCGAAATAGACATCACCAAGGTTAATGATAAGACATTTACTAGAAATGTGTTGAATGAAGCTAGATTTTATTAGAGTTTACTAACAAGTGAATCCAGACCAAATTAATTCAGCTTCATACAACCAAAGAGAATTAACCTTTCATTTTAGATCTCAGTTAGGTAGTTGGAACTTCTTCTCTTTGTTCTCATTCGAATTTAAACTAAAGCACAACAGTAGTCAGACTAAGATATATCCTTACAGGACAGCTACAATCCTAAGCGTCTGACCGTGAAGTTGGTCCAGTCCTCCAGTACGTATAATTATAATGACGTCACTGATGGACGTGTCGACTCCAGTCCTGAAGGTGGGTTTAGAGCCTTCATACTGTTGCATCCTAATAAAACCATCTGTTTTAATATTGACATTTTAGCTCTTTCATTCTTTAAAGGCAATGTTTTTTTAAATTCCTACTCTAGCAGTACAGCCATATGGACAAACACAAGTGAAAACTTAACTTCTTTGAATAGTGGGTCATAAGTTGAATTATTAAGAAAGTTTAATATCTAATTATAGTCCTTATTCAGATTAATGTGTGGAAATTAAAAGAAATATAATAAATTATAATAAATAAATTGAATTTCACACTGCTTGCAGTTTAACTGTGATAAAAAAAAATGTGTTAATCAATTATAAAGTAATTCAGACCAGTCCTTTTTATTTGTGTCCGTGCAATTTATGTTTCCAGGTAAAGTCCCTAAGGTGGTGCCAATTTTGAAAATGCAATTTATCTCTTAAAATTCTTTACTGCTGAGGGTGTGATGATAAAGTTTTCTTATCAAATTTACATGACATTGTGTATAATCCTAAATCATTATATGTTTGAATTGATTGAATGTGTGATATACAGATGAGACAGACCCTGGGGAGGAAGAGGAAGAAGGAGGGGACAGTGTTGATGGGGTGGATCTAAGATCTAGACTGAAAACAAAGGCTTACAAAATGACAATATACTGGGTATCCTTCCTGGACAGACAGCAGAGGGTGGTGCTATTTACACAAGACCCTCGAGTGGCTGAGGCCGCAAGAATGGTAAGAGTTAAAAGAAAAATATTTATTGTTTTAATTGCCAATATTTCTATACAAAAGGCCAAAGAATAAGGATATTTATTATCATGTTTTTTGAGGTGTTTAATGTATAAATTGCAAATTGTTTGTATAACTTGCTTGAATATGTAATTGTTAGCGAGATAAGTAAATAGGAAGACTTAAAAGGGAAGACTTTTGGTTTTCTTAATAGGTTTATTATTTTGCATGTTAGATAGTCAAGTATTGTCCACATTTTTTTTATTCATTAAAAACTAAATTGCACTTAACCAAATTTTCTCTTTGTTTGTGAATTGTCATAATTTAATTCCAGTTAGGGATATTTAAAGGTTGCATGTGCCAGCTAAAAATGCTTTATTTTTTATTTGTTTGCCAGAATATACTTCGTACAAAATATAAAAACACACAAATTTTTACAGAAATTATGAAAAATAATATTTTTTCTGCACTTTCAATTTTATTTTTTTAATCTTTGACTTTATTATCTAATCCATATAGAAAACTACATACATGAAAAATTTAAATGTGAGTGATGGAAAAATTTTGAGTGATATTTTTTAGTTAATGAAATTTGTTTTGCGATTACCTTTGCCACTTGTAAGCTAAAAATTTGCATCATTTTCCAAAATTAACAGTTACAGTGTTGCTATTATGCAGGTTTTTTCACCTGGAATTAGATTAAATTTATTATTTGCTTTCCATTTGATGTGTTTATTAGTTTGATGAAGTGCATGCATCTTATATTCAGCACAGTTTGAAAGCATATAGCACAATTTACATGTGATTTCTTAACAATAATTTTGATTTTTAACTCCCTTGTTCATTTAAATATTAATTTCTTTTCAGAAAACAAATTAAAATAATATTTCTTTTAAATACAATTTTGCCTTAGCATTTCAAAGCATATTTCCATTTGTTCAGTAGCTTATTAATACTGGGGTGCATAGCATTATGTATGTCTTTTATGTACAGTAAAACTTGTCTAATCTGTACGTTGTATATTCCAAAATCCTCCCTAATACAATTATGTTAACTCTAAGTCCCTTTCAATAAATTCAATTGTTTAAAAATATGTTAAGTCCAGAATGTTGTCTAACTGGCACATTCCTTTGGAATCATATGAGTCTGGATTAGACAAAGTTTACTGTGTAATGTGCTACTGTAACAGCATTTTGATAATTAAATGCTATTTTTTTGTCGTTGATTTATTATTTAAGGCTCATTGCTACGGAGTTAATTCTCCACACTCGCATCGGTTGCTGCCTACGGTAATATAATATTGTCTTCTCAGCCACAAAGCTTGATGCAGCGCCATAGCTTTATTAACAACTGTGCAGAACTTTTTAGACTTCAAGTAAAATTTCATTCCTAAACAGATTCATTTGATAGTTTCCTTCAGTAGAAAAGAATGGTTTATGAATGATAGTTTATGAATGGAATCTTGACATCCCTATAAATATTGTTAAATGTTAAGATAGAAGAATTGAAACTAACACATCTTATTGCACATGAGAACTGTGAAATTAGATTGAGCAATTATTAACCTTGTCTCACAGGTGTAGAAATTTACAGCATGATATATTTTTATCGTTTTCAAGAGATTGATTGATTGATAACGTTGTTTTACGTCCCATTTGAGAATTTTTCACTCATATAGAGACGTCACCATATAACAGTGAAGGGTTTCAAATTTAGACCTTTACTCAGCACTCATGGCCAATAAGCAGTGAAGAATCCTTTTCGTGCCAACGCCTGTCATGACACGAGGCCTTGATTTTTTAAAAGGTCTCATCTGAAGGACCTGCAACTTTCACTTTAAAGTTCCGAGCTCTTGACAAAGGAACAGTTGCTACCTTTTTTATCGACTTAGGTCAGTCACGGCAGAGATTTGAACTCATGACCTTCTGGTCACAGAGCGAGCACTCTACTCACTGAGCTATCGTGACAGTGTTTTTTTTTTTTTTGTTGTTTTTTTTTTTAAAGAGAAATATGATTTTAAGAAGATACAAAAATATGCAAAATTTTGGGGATAAAATTGAGAACCAAGAAGATTATGCCCCTTAATTAACATACTTCATTATAATGAAAATAAGGCTTGCTGATTTTGTTTGATGGATAGGTGTATGTAATTTAAAGTGTTGATGTTTACTACTTAATGTATCATACTTGTACAGTCATGTATTCCTGTATTTAAATTCTAACTCATAACTGCATGATTTGGGGAAAACTTAACTTTGTCCCAAAACTCTTCATGACTTGAACATGCAGATGGATAGAGTTTTCTTGATTAACATGATTAAGCAGAAAACATCTCTACATTATACTTGAATATAATATATATATCGCAGGTGATCTAGAAGCACACTTAGGCTAGATTTAGGTACCAAATTTTTAGCAAAAAAGCACCATAGCATCGACTACAACATTAGTTGCTTTAATTGCTACTTGTGGCTTATTACTATGTAATGAAATAATTTAAACTGATGTGCATTGCATTTTATGATTTAAAGTACATGAAATACATATCAATGAAATATATGTCAACATGCAATTATACTCAAATTTTATTAGGATTAATTTCAAATTAATTAAGACATTTAATATCAATGATTCAGTATTATTTACAAGTACATTGAGATATTAAAATTATTATATTTTATTTAGTTAATTTTGCATTTTATTTTTCATTTCAGAAAGAGATCTTAAAATTTTCATTATAAGTGTTTTATTAAATTTTGTGATTTAAGAAAAAAAAATATTATTTATAATCTCATTTATGAAAAAGATCAGTTTTCCCTAATCATTTTATTAAGTGATTTATATGAACAGTATCTTTTGTGCATTAGATTTCTCTGAATTATATATTGAATCAGATACATTAAATCATGATATACTCTATATATTTTATATAAAATGTTATATTCATTTGGTATTTGTGATAATTTTAAGGATTTTTTTTTATTAATTTGATGTACTCATTCGAAAAAGGAATACAGATATTGAAATTTTCCCACCAATTTACAGATGTATGAAGGAGAACATGTGACCTGGTTTTCCTTGATTTCATTGGACGGTATAACCCTCTCAATCATCAATGGAGTTTATGAGGAGGTGGCTCTGGTTAGTTTGACAAGTCTGCCAGCTAGTTGGGAGATTGAGGTCAAAAACAAATGGAAGATGTTGGAGGATATCACCTTGGTAACCTGGCTGGAGGACCAGTGGAAGAACGGTGTGGATCAGGCCAGCTGGGATACCAGAATAGAGGTAGGGAATTATGGGTAATATACATGTATGATGCAGATTTGGATCAGGCCAGCTGGGAAACCAGGAGAGAGATAGGGAATTATGGGTAATGTGATGCAGGTTTGGATCAAGCCAGCTGAGATACCAGGAGAGAGGCAGGGAAATGTGGGTAATATGTGATGCAGATATGGATTTTATTTTCTTGATCTGTGGGTAATAGTAATCACCCACCCAGTTCAGGCCTATAGGAAGCAATTTCAGTTGGGGGAGTGGGGGCACAACCAAACATTTTCAGTTGAGGGGCACTACCAAAAATTCAAAAATTCCTTGACAAGAAAAAAAATAAGGTTATCAGATGTTATTGTTGATAGGGCATAAGCATATAGTAGCTATGAGTTCTAATATTCTATATATCAAAAAATTATTGTTGGAGGGGGTGGTGTGGGTCAGCCCCTCCCCCTAACCGTGTTTCTGACGGCCATGCAGTCACCAAGTCCAATGGCGGAAAAAAAAATTTCTTATCTTTATATCTGGAAAAATGAATCTGAAACATAAATGAAGTTTTGTTAAGTTACAATTTTTTCATGATTGTGTGCAGGAACATGCATTCCTCTAAGAATGAGAAACATTTTACAACATGTGGATATATTGTTGACATTGAGGTGGATTTTAAGAACATGAGAATGACAAAACCCTACATTGGAGACCTGAGAAGAGTTGCCTACCCTGGTCTGTATTTCCAGCATAGGATGTCCGAACACCAGACTCTGATACATGCCAGAATATACAAAATACAGGTATCTTAAAGTTTATAATGCTAATACATTACTTATATTGTTAAATAAACAGAACTTAATGAGTGAGACATGTTAATTGTACAGATTCATGTAGAAGAGTTTATATGTATAATGATAAGTTCTAATTATACTAGCATGTACAGCATTGTTGCATCCCATTCTCCCAACCAGAAGCAAAATATTTATATGTAGTTTGTTGGATAATTATGATTTCATTTGCTCTAGATTGATAACCAGTTATTAGATGCTTACCATCAGACTGTGTTAAGTTGTGTGCCTACCCCAGGCTACCTCGTGAAGAAGAAGGGGCCTAAACCCTGTATAGAATTTGGAATGATTAGACGAGTTGTACAAGAAAATAATGTTGATACATTTAGGTGAGTGCATATTGATGAATTAAGGCAAATTTTGGCAATAGGAAGATTTATATACATGTACATTGGATATTGAAATAAGCCCAATATACATTGTACATTATTGAGTTTAATAACTAGGCAAAGTAATACCTTTATGCATAGGAAAATAAATTTTAATATGCAACAATGGTGAATGTGATGTTTTCAATTTACAGACAATTTCAGTTAATCCTTCAGGAGCTAAGATTGGCTGTAGACTGGGGTTTTATTGAGTCTATTCAGGATACATTTGCTGATCTAATGCCAGCTGAAGCTACCGAGGTGAGAATTTTATATCTGTATATGTTAGAGGTTAAGCTCTGATTCTTTGAGATGTATAATGTAGGTGACATACTAACTTTCAGCAGTATATACATATATACATCAACTTGAAGATAACATTTCGAGTCTTAACTTTACATCAAGTTAAGGCATGTAATATGTCAACCACACAAGACATGTCGTGTTACAATGTAAACCACACTAGTTATGGTGTTCATGTATAGGCATCTCATTCATGTTATAATCCTTAGTAATGAAAAAAAAAATTAAATTTTTAACATGTGGAAAAAAATAAATGCTAATTTTTTGCAATTAGACATTATTCATCTTTGCTAGACAAGGGTTTTTGATCTGCTACTCTTGATCCTCACAAAATCCTGACTTTTGACAGCACAATAAGCCAAGGGTTTGTGAGGAGAGTAGCAGATCAGAAACCCTTGGCTAGCAAAAATGAACATTAGTATCTCTCCATTGAATATGTACAATGAGTTAGACATGATTGTTTGAAACCACTTGAAAACAAGAATTTGCAAAAACATCAAATTAGTCCAACACTGCAGTGCCGAATTATATTTATGAAGCAAGTAGATATTAGATGTTGCATTTAAATAACACTTATGTTAATTTAGTAGAAGAATGTTTTTTTTTCAGCAAAATATAGTATTAATTAACAATTTCTTTTGTTAGAGTGCCAAATTACAGTCTGACATTCTTGTTGCTCAGCGGCCTCTACAGGAAGTAGCTGAAGTCATGGTAACAGTTATATGTTAAAATAATAAATACTGGGTACCATAGAAGAACACGAATGTGCACAAATTTTTCAATTAAAAGATATATTATTTAAATGCAAAAAAATTATAATATGTTCTTATGAAATCTGTTTCAGGTTGAGAGACAGCCACATAGAATTTTCTTTGAGATGTTCAAGATTTCTCCAATCAAGGTTATTATAAGTTCAGACAATGGATTTCTTTGCATTTCAGATAATATCATTTCTAAGTGATTTAAATGAACTGTGTCAGTTTATTTTTGATTTGTTTATTGTAATTTACTTACTGGAACTTTGTATTTCTAGGTCCATGTCAGTTTCTCTTTGAGGGGAACCCCCCACCTGACTAGGGATGTCCAGCCAAGTGTTGCATCTGACATCAAAGGATTCCTCCGTAATTCTATTGGAGCGACCTTCACAGAGGTCAAGGACATTGAGCTCAAGTAAGAGACAGCAATAAGAACCTTGATAAACCACATTATCAGATTGTCATCTGACACTGTCTGTAAATTTTAGAATGTAAATAGCTTTGTTATACTATGGAATTGATTTTTAAGTTTCTTAAAGAAAACAAAGATCTGGTAATTCTTTTCGGATTCATGCTATAATATTTATTTACATAATTATCTTGATTTTTATCATTTCCATCTGATTATCAGGTTTTAGAATACATATGAATCCTGATTTCTATAATATTTTCATATACACATGCTAGGGTTTTAAATTGGTGAATACTGTAATTAGGTGTATTTCTTTCCATGGGGTCATAATTTCACCGAATCACAATTTCTGTTCAGTCAGTGGGTAGAAAAACAGATTTCTTGAATTCCAAATCTATGTATTTAATGCACTTAAATTATGCTGTGACAAATTTCCACAGAAAATTTGTGACTGTGTACAAAGTGTAAATTAAAACCATGCAGAAAAAGTTCATCTACATTACATATGATCCCTGTACTGGATAACTTTTATTTAATTGACAGACTGGGTTTCTTTGAGAGACGAGGTGTCCTCCTCTCCTCCCTACAAATGCAGACCCAGGCCCTCTCTCACTACCGCCAGCAGCTCATGCTCCAGATCTATGTGGTTATTTTTGGTCTAGATGTTCTAGGAAACCCGTATGGCCTCATCAAGGACATCACAGAGGGTCTGGGAGAGCTTTTCTATGAGCCTTTGCTGGTGAGTTATATTTTATGTAAAAGAGATAAAAAACATTGATCAATCTCATAAATCCAGTATACGAATAACAAATGGGGCACGAACAGGGACCCCTTTAAACATAAGAAGTGGGATCAGGTGCCTAGAAGGAGTAAGTATCTCCTGTTGACAGGTCACATGCCCTGAGCCCTTTGTATTGATCAAGTAGATAGAATTATCCTTAGTCAAAGGACAAGGTATGGTAATGGCAGAATCTGGCTCCTTGTTTGATGTAAAAATCAGAACACAGTTAAAATTGTGATAGTTTGTTGTTAAGAACTTAAAATGATGCTTGTTTTAAAACCAGTACTAATTTTGATTCAAAGCTTACATGGAGGCCACAAAAGTATGCAGAAGTAGGACATTTTCCTGAATTTCCTCAATTCTCGTGGAATTTAATCATCAAATTTGAGATAATTTTCACTTTAGGAAACATAGAGCACAAGCTTGCCTATCTGAGATTTTTATACACAAGATGCATCTGATACTAGTGTATGAAATGTATAAATTTGGCAGATAGGCAAGCTTGTGCTCTATGTTTTCTGAAGCAAAATGTGTTGTAAAATCGATGAAAATTTGCATAAAAATGAGAAAATTCGAAAATTGACATATTTTCTGACCTTCCTGTGACCTCTGTTTATCCCATAACTTAGAACCAATCCTCATTTTGTGACAGGGGTGTGAAGAGGTTTTTATTGATAAACATCATTCTAAAAGACACCCCAAACCAGGGGCCATAAAAGGGTCTTAGCCTATCTTGTCCTTTGGTATAAAAACAAGGACAGTCACTTTGGTATGAAACAGGTCAGACAAAATATGACTCATTGAAAAGCTGTGTTTGCAAACAAGGTCAATATAATAAGGATCCTAGAATTTGTGAAATGCTGTCTTCAAAAGAGTTTATTTAATCTCATCAAGTCACATATACTATCAGTCTAATTGGTTTGAAAATTTATCCATACTCTCTTGTGTATCGAATAACTTGGAAGACATGTAAACACCATATGCAGGTGATTATGAAATATTACTACATACATGTAACTCAGGAAAATTGACAATTGAAAAGCTTACAGTTTAATATTTGTCCTTCTTTGCTCATGTTTCAAGATTATGCCAGGTTGATGAAAAAGTACATTTCTGTAATGTAGGTATAAGTTTAGTATCCAGTTTAATGCAAGACCACAGTAAAGTTCGGACAAAATTTCTGACTTAAGCAGGGGGCCACAGTAAGTGGTTCCAAAATCTGTGAGATTTAAAACTGTACAGGAACAATCAAAGTGAGATTTGTTTCTCATGGGACCGTTATTTCAATTAAGTTTAACAGCTGAATATTTAGTATACAAGTGTTAAAGAAAACAATCAAAATTTTTGTGAATCTGTAAAACTTTATCTCAATTACTTTAATAATTAACAGGACACAATACAGGGAGAGGATGCTTTCTCCAGTAATATGGTCCGAGGATTTGAGAATGCCATGGGTCATATTGTAGGTAAGAGAAACATCCTTCCCATTCTGTATATAGTGAATAGCTAAAAGTAATTTATATAACTCTTACACACTATGATTTCTGATGAAATAAGCACCTGTTGTCTCTGTGTGTCTTCCGTGTTTATAGGAGGTACAGCTAACTCTGTTGCCAGGATTACAGGAACTCTGGGGAACACGCTGGCGTACTTATCCATGGATGATGAATTCCAGAAGGTAGCAGTTTTTCTGCTTCATTGTATCTTTTCTTTTAGTTTACTAGTCTCATTGAAATAAAACAAAACTGTCTCAGTGTATATATGTGTTGTTACATTTTACTATGATGCATTTATGACTGTTTAGATTTTCTCTAATAAGACAATTTATCATCGAGAATTTTCAATGCTTCAAACATCGAAAATGTTACAAAATACAATTCTCGGGGCAGCTTGCTCTTTATATAATATTCAACTGAGGCATGCAGAGTTGGTTTTGTTGAACTTTTTAATGGCCTTGTGGAGAAGAGTTTGGAGGTCACAGCAGCATTTACTCTTTAATTAGGGCCCTGCACTATGGGCGCCCTATAGTGGTCAGTCTGTCCAAGATCTCTTGTCCGAAGTATATCTTCTCTCTCCTTGACCCAATCTGGCTCATACTTCACCAACAGAGTGTCTTTGGGTAAAGGGTGTGCAGTGACCTTGAACCATGTTTCTAGGTCTAAGGTTAAGGTCATAGCAGAATTATATGAAAAATCCTTATCCAAAGCATATCTTCTCTCCCCTTGGTCCAATGTGGCTCATACTTCACTCACGGAGTGCCACTGGTCAGTGGATGCGCAGTGACCTTGAACAAAGTTTTTAGGTCAAGGGTCAAGGTAAAATCGGCTACCTTAAATTTTCAAGTTCTTTTGTGAAAGCGGGGCCTTTTGAGATGGCCACCATCTCAATGATATCTAGTTAACATTTAATGTCCAATGAGGAGTGTGTATGTAGAGTTAAATTTAGATTTGTTTGAACTTTTTTATTTTGACCCTGTAGAGAAGAGTGCGACGGTTACAGCAGCAGCCCCGAAATCTTCCCCACAGCATGGCAATGGCGGGAAAGGGTTTTCTGTCTGGGATGAAGTTTGGACTGCTGGGGGTGGTGTTAGATCCCGTACATGGTATGCTGTATTAAATGTACAGAATTATGTATGGATGCAAGTCTATTAATCAGTTATTTCAAATTTTAGTTTTAAAAAAAATCAAATGAGTGAAAACAGAAAAAAATCATTCAAATGAAAACATAGATATTTTATTGTTGAACTTACAAAGGACAAGATAGGCTAAGACCCCTTTTTGGCGCCTGGTTTGGGGTGTCTATTAGAATGAAGCAATAGTTTATCAATAAAAACCTGTTAACATCCCTGCCACAAAATGAGTATTTGTTCAATGTTATGGGATACACAGAGGTCACAAGAAGGTCAGAAAATATGTCAATTTTCGAATTTTCCCATTTTTTATGCAAATTTTCATCAATTTTAGAGCACATTTTGTTTCAGAAAACATAAAGCACAAGCTTGCGTATCTATCAAAGTTGTACATTTCATATACTAGTATCAGATGCATCTTGTGTATAAAAATCTCAGATAGGCAAGCTTGTGCTCTACATTTCCCAAAGTGGAAAGTATCTCAAATTTGATGAAATTCCACCAGAATTGAGGAAATTTGGGAAAATGTCCTACTTCTGCACTCTCTTGTGGCCTCCATGTAAGCTTTGAATCAAAATTAGTGCTGGTTTTTAAATTAGCAACATTTTAAAGTCTTAACTACTATCACACTTTTAACTGTGTTCTGATTTTTACATCAAAAAAGGGGCCAGATTCGGCCATTACCATACCTTGTCCTTTACATGTAGGAACTTTGACTTTCCTGAAGAAAAAAGGTATTTCAAGGATTCATAAAACACACAGTTGGCAATGCGTACAATTTGAATATACTTACACATTGAAACTTGGGACTTGTGCCTAAAGGTGCTTAATGTTGAATTTGAACAAATTTGTTGTGTTGTCATTACACTCAAAAATATATTTTGTATTTATTTTTAGGTGCTTCTGAAGAGGGAGTTGAGGGGTTCTTTAAGGGGATTGGTAAGGGATTATTGGGATTGGTCACCCAACCCCTTGGAGGTGTGATGGACATGGTCAGTCTAGCATTTGATGGAGTCCGCAGGTAAACATATTTATATATACCTTCAGTACATATCATGTGTAAAGAATAGACTAAGTCAAATATGATAAGAAAATTGATATTTTTTTTAGAAGGAAATATATTTCCTGTATACATTTAGTGTATGTATCCTTTCGTTATTAAAAAATTTCAAAATTAACATTCTGTTTTCAGTTTGATTTCAATGTAAGCCTTTTAAACTTATATCTCTTTATACCTGCACATGTACCGATAGCTTTTCATTTCAAACCCTTCTCAGACAGATCCACTGAATTGAAAATAAGTCTATTTTCCTGGTTTTTTTTGACAGGTCTGCTGAGAATGATGTTGTAGCTATCCGAATGAGACTACCAAGGTTTATTAACCCTTATCATGTAGGTTTGAAACACTTTTATATAATTTTTTTGGTTACTGACACTGTATTTCTACATGCATAGTCTTTTAACTGTTGATTAAACATTGCCATGCAATTACAATTATTACATGTAATTTTATGTATACAAATAAGATCAAAAGAGAGATAAAAATTCATTTTTTTATCAAAATAGAATCAAAATGACAATACATTAGATACAGTATGATTTATCTTATTTTCCAGGGTTTAGAGCCATACTCTTGGTACAGAGCCCAAGGGAACTTTATCCTACACAGACTGCGGGATGAGCAGCGTTCCTCCGGGATTTTTGTAGACTTCGCTCCTCTTAGTTATGATGACAGAGCAGATCTGCTGTTTATCACCGACAGGTCAAATATTTTTTTCACACGTACATTCAACATCATTCCCTAGAAAAATATACACAGGATATCAATTCTTTGCTTTATTAATTTTCAAACAAGATGCTTTGGATTGAATCTTCCCTTAGGCTCATGAAGTTGTATCTTACAGCATTTATTTGATGACTAAATTCCAAAAAACACATAAATACCAAGAGATTCTGATTGTAATAAGAAAATTAATGTGTTGTATGATGTTTGTTTGACAGGACAATTTTGAGCTTGTCAAAGAATCGGTTTTCCCCGGGGTATGACGTGAAGTGGGAAGTAGAACGAGAGAGGATTATGGGAATTCCGGAAGTGACGGAGAATAAAATAGTCCTTACTCTCAAGGTTTGTTGGTCTTTCGACTTCACTTGAGATACAATCTAGTATTCATAATCATTATCAAATATTAATTTTGGCACAAGGATTAACTCTAAGGCAGTGTGAATATTCTTTGAAATTGAATATTTATTTTCTTCAGTTTTGTATTATTTTGACTTTATTTTATTTCATCTTAGCAAAGCTGAACAAATATTGTTATCACAGGTATCAAAAAAAGATAACATGCTTCTAATATAAAAGAAAAAAAATGTGATTCAAACATTACCACAGTTTAAAAATCTAGACTAAAAGATTAGAAAACATTCAGGGTAGATATATAAATTCATTATTTTTCCTTATTTAGGACAAGAAAGGTTCCTTATTCTCTGGGAGTACAATCGAGATCTCTAGTCCAAACCCTGAAATACTGAGGTGGATCCAAGACCGTATGGAGCGTATTATCAGACAACAGATCTAATAAGTACATGTAAGTAACAAAGTTTTCCCTTCAAAGTTTTTTGAGTAAAGAGATGTTTTCAATGCCTGCATAAAGTAATGAATATAAAACAAATCAATACTCTTCATATAAGGTTGATTAAGAAATCCATTAACTGAAACCTTTGTTTCCTTTCAATAAGTGTAATTTAGAAAAGCTTTTTTATCCTTTTTTAGTGAGAGTTTATTAGCCTAAGGGTTCTTTTAAAAAAGTTATGTCAATGCTATCATAGTAAAACTGATCTAAAACAAAAAGGGAGTTTATTTTAATTTTCATGTATTTAATATTGTGCTATATCTTACAATTTTTATGTGCATGTTTATTTTTCAGGTTTTCAAAGCTGGTGTGAATTTATTTTAAAATGAACAAAAGAGATTGAATTTTGGCTGTGATTTTTAGAATGTATGTTGACTTCACATTTCAATAGCTTAATTGCTGAATGTTTGTTGTTTTGACATCTCATATTACACTTATTTGCTTCTTGTTGATGGTGGGTTAGCTATTCTTGTTGCCATAAGTACACTGTGTAATATATAAACATGTATGTTTTAAGGGAAGACCTTGTTTCATAAGCAGGACATGCTTAACATCATTAAAATTATTACATGTATAGTCAATTTATCGTGATATACACTCAATGTGCAATACTTTTTAACAGCATTTTACAATAATATTGTTTTTGTTTAACTTGTTTACATCTTGTATGTACATGTATTTAACATTCCAGAATTACGTTGTGTTTATTAGAAGTATTTGTAAACTGTATACTGTTGTACACACCCTCCCAAATATAAGACTTTGAGTAGTAATGATCAAAGGTAGTCTTGATTTTATTTTATTCTATGTTTATATTGGTATAAAATAAACTAGCAAGCTGCATATATGAAAAAAAAATTAACTGTCTTTGAAACTTTAAATCACTGAATGCTACAGTCCTACTAAGAAGATATGACTTTTTTGAATGCAGTATAGGTTAATATAAATTAAGCTTATTTTCCAGTATGAACACTATAACATTGTCCTGAATCTGGCTTCTTCAGATAAATGTATTTAAAACTAATGCCCTGTTCACACGGAGAGTTTAATTCGCAGTAAATTAATGCGAAGTAAAATGATGCGAATTAAACTAATGCAAATTAAATTGCGTTCACACGACAGCTAATGCGAAGTAAACTAATGCGAATTATAATTTTATTTCTACAGCAAGGCTATTCAGTGAGGCTATTATGACGTCATTTACAAATCACGTCATATTGTGCCCAGCAAATATACATTTGACATAATGTCAGTGTCTGTGCACATTTTAGTGTTAACGTAGTTTTCCTTTGTTTTCCGCTCAAAAATAGCACAAGTACCTATATTTGACCATCGACATGTGGCCTGTGACTTAATTCTGCCCTTACGCATGCGTCAAAATTTAATTCGAATTAGCTTCGCTTAGCGTTCACACGAAGCTAATGCGAAGTAATTTAATGCGCAGTAAACTAATTCGAATTAAACTAATTCGCATTAAATTCTCCGTGTGAACGCCGATCAAATTTAATTCGCAGTAACTTACGTTTAATTCGAATTAAACTCTCCGTGTGAACAGGGCATAAATACTAGTACATATGTACTACAGTTGAACTTCGTTACCTCGAACTCTGATATCTCGAATATACCATTCATATGTAGAAGTGATCTGTAAGTCCCAACCACTTATTCATTATATTAAGAATTTTACCATTGATACCTCAAATCTTCAGATATGTTCAAGTTTTTTTCTGTCCAATCGAGTTCAAGATAACGAGGTTTGACTGTACATGCACAACGTGTGTTAAATTGTCAACAGGAGTAAGGAGAACAAATCATTGTGACTAGATTGTTTGTGATAAAAGTTTCACAGATAAAGGATACTAGATGATTGCTTTACAGAACACTTTATAAATTTAGTGCACAGTCATTCTGTAGAAGTTAAATATAAATTCATATTTAAAATCTGACTGATATATATTTTTTTTTCAAAGGTTATTTTTACTCTTATTCTGATTTATAATTTCCTGTCATTGAATTGATCTTTGAAAGTAATTTTTTTTTCAAGAAAATATACAAGAAAAACATTTTTCCATTAAAAAGATTGTACAAACTGTATTGTAACTTATTAGTACAATTATCTAGAATACTAAATATTCAAATAATATTGCACTTCATTATTTTCTTGTTATATGTACAATACTACTATAATATACAAATTGTACTTTAACCTGAACATTTTGAAACTGACCTTATAAAGGATGAATGAATGCATAGGTTTTGATTGGAATATTATCTTAATTGATGAACTGATATACATTTTGGTAAATTTTTTCGTAGGAAATATTGCAAGGTTCAGTCATATATCTTTTTTCCCTAAAAGTGATTGTATATTCGGTGTAATGGAACTTTGATATCACGAAAAATCATGGGACTGTCCAAACATTTGTAATTAGTTGAGTGTTCCAGGTATGTATAAATTTGAAAGTCAAATTACTGTCGACTCCTATAGGAGATTCCTTAATATTTATTGATTTCAGCAATATTACATAAAGCAAGATTCAACTTCAATTGAAGGATAATACATCATCCTGCCAAATGTTTGATGAGCAAATATAATTTGTACAAAAAAATTCAAAGTTTAGATTTTAATATATAAAACTAATAAAAAGGAATTAATGAAAACAAAATAATATAGTCTGACATAATAAAAAATATTTTTTTAAACACGGAAGTGGAATGGAATGTGTATGCTAATCAAAGGTTTATAGACTCTGCACTAAATTACTGGTATTATTTAATGTGGTTTGATCTGAGATATGGGTTTTTATTGATCATTATAAAACATTTATATATTTGGTTGATTGGTTATGAGTTTTCTTTGTAAGCCAGAAAGAATTATGTTGTTATTTCATATTGCTTTGTTAATAAAGAAACAATTTAGATTACCAACAACATTCTGTTGTTTGATGTGCCCCAGATGTGTGACAAAGACAGACTGTACATGTATGAAATTATGACATTGCCCTCTGACTTGTTGACCTCAAAATCGAGGTTCTTATTTAGGCCGAGAGGGGGGGGGGGGGGTGATATTAAATGTTATCGAAAAGAGCTTAAAGAAAACTAAAGTTTTCATCTGTTAAATGTTATTTGCAATGCATGAATTTAAAAACTTTGACCTTTTGACCTCAAAATCAAAAGGGACTGCTTTATGCCATAAAAAGTTGTGATATTTTATAATTTCATTCTAAAAGCTCAAAGACTTTTTAAGATATCGTTCAGAAACGAAGGTGTAACACAAATTGAAGAAGGCTTAATGAAATATAACGTTATCATCTTGAAAATATTTGTAAAATATGAATTCTTGACCTTCATTGCAAATGCTCAAAGATGTTTTAAGACATTGCCCGGAAAGGAAAGTGATGCACACAAACAATGAAGAAATTTAAAAACCTTGACCTTTGATCTTTTGAGCTTTAAATCAAAATGGATCTTCTTTAGGCCATAGAGAGTTGTGGTATAAAATTTTATTGCCAAAGCTCAAAGGCTTCTTGAGATATCGTCTGGAAACGAAAGTATTACACAGAATGTATGAGGAAACGAAAATATTACACAGAATGTATGAATTTATGACCTTGACCTTTGACCTTTTCATGTCAAAATCAATAAGGGTCTTTTTTAGAACATAAGAAGTTGTGGTATAAAATTTCATTGAAAAAGCTCAACGGGTTCTTGAGATATCGTTCCGAAATGAAAGTGTTACACACAGACAGAAATACAGCTAGACAGACGGACAGACAGATAACAAACAGACCAAAATTAATAACCCCATCTTTCAGTGAAAGCGGGGGACAAAGAATAGACCCTGAGAGAAGGATGAATATACAAATGTGTGTACAATGTATTCTCGTTCTCCTGCCTGTAATAATGAAGATACAATTCAATCATCTGATTTTGAATATTGTTTAAGGTTGACTGTTTGAAGAAGAGAAACAAGACTTGAGGGAGCAATACAATATTAATGATTTAAATATTCGTTTCACTTAGTTATACAGAGTTACATGTAACACTTGAGACAACTAAGAAATAATTGAAGTACCACCTCCCATAATGATATACCCCATCCCCTTTTTTTAGAACTGCCGAATAAAATGGATAAGTTTTCGGAAAGGTCTACTGACTGTTAAAACCTAGATTTAGGCCACAGAGCACAAGCCAGGGGATGAAGAACTCTTGCAATGATTAGTGCTAGCCTTTTAAGGGATGCCCCTTCCCCTTTAATCATTATTAAAACTATGTACGTTAACATTATAAACCGGAATCCTTACTGTTTAAATTATTCCCATTCTATAAAATAGAATTATATATAATATACATGTTTATTACATTTCAACAGTGAAATTCTGTCATTTATTTACTGAATAAAAGTGATATTCTGACACGGTGTAAAGGGATATCAAAAATGGTATTCCCACAGTGTGAGAATATCAGAAGTGCGGCAAAACTTACACTAATGATATGTTGTGAGTTTGACATTCAATTCGGTTCGCAAGTATTGAAAATCAACCCGAGAATACCGCCTCCAGTTGGAGGCGGCCGAATTCCCAGTTTTCGTATTGGCGCCGGTTCTGACGTTTTCCTTGCACGTAAAATTATATCAAATCGTTAAAAAAGCCAGGAAAACGTAAGATATTTCGGACTAGCAATCGCTTAGCTATGACGTCTCAACCGCTCAACCATGACGCTGTGTTACGAAAAGACAGAGGCAAAGTGAAAATCTAAGAAAATGTAATAAACAGAAAATTCAATGTTTTGTAGATGAATATTGAATTTATTTCACTCGTGAGACAGGATTTTTGATATTTTCACTCGTGCTTCGCACTCGTGAAAATATAAAAATATCCTAGCTGTCCAACTCGTGAAATAATTAAATTCCATACTCATCTACAAAACATTGAATATCCTCTATATATATATATATATATATATATATATATATATATATATATATATATATATATATATATATATATATATACACACACACACACATGCAGCATGCTTTTCAAACACTCTTTTCTTATACAAAAAGACATCGGTCATTTGATTTGTGGGGAGGGGGAGAGGGGTTGTCGACTCGAATGATTTATTTCTATGCCCTTTCAGGACAAGTTATTTGTTTCCAAATTGATCGAGGACAAATAATTTATTTTCTTAGCTAGAAAAAAATTGACATCAAAAGCTTAATTCGGGAGGGGGGGGGGGGTACTATAGAACCACCAGTCAAGGTCAGATAATTTATTTTCTTTATTTTCTTCCTAATGGAGGAGAAATAATTTATTTTCAAGGCGGGTTATTATTTTCCACCACCACCCTCTAAAAATAAAATGATCTTCCCCTGAGAATTGAATTGAAATGACCCCCTTCGCCACGAAGCATGAATGAAAAAATGGTGTTCCCCACGGGGAACCTCTCCATATATGAAACATTGCTACTTTCGTTTTAATCGTTTTGCATACCTGCTATATTGGAACGGAAGAAGCAAATTATTTACAAATAATTTAATCCTGAATATGGCAATGAAACAAAGTACATATGATTTTGAATTGATATGACAAAAGAATGTATAAAAAAAATTTAAAAAGCGAATAAATTTATGTTCCCTTCACGTACCTCAGTACACAATAAAAATAACGTTTTATAGAAGGTATCTCATAGCAAACGGCTTATTATGCAAAACTCCAGTGGATCTCTCGTTCAAGGTAATTATTTCATGAACATTTTTATTAACTTTTTTATATGTAGGAAAAAAATGTTTAATACATGCATGCGCAGATATAAGGGGCTGAAGGCCTGGCCCCCTTCCTGTGGGATAAGGAATTTTTATGAGTTTTAAATTTATATAACAAAGTAACAAAAAAAAAAAAAAAAAACAACCTTATACCCTCTCCCCAGAAATCACGGACACTAAGAAAAAAAGGTACGTACAAAATAAATTTACACATACGAACAAAGGCGACTTACATGTAATTGCCCCCCCCCCCCACCCCAAACAAAATAGGTTTTTGGGTTTAGACAAGTTTACGTTTATTTTTCTTTTTTTGCTTGAGTCAGATTTTATTTTATTGGAGGTAGCTATAGACCCTCACCCACTCCCGGGAAAAAAATTCTAGATTCTGATGTAAATGTGATGGATTCATTTAGCATGTATTGCTTTCTATATTTGATGTCTGTTGTTCCAATGTCTCACCCAAATAATATGTATTTCACAGGCACGTAGTATCGCTTTTAAAAGTAGAGGTGGGGCTTCCCAGAAAAAAATAATGACAACTTACCTAAAAAACCTTTTACAAGCAAAAATGCTTTTTAACAAGTGATCTATCAATGACTAAAGCTTCAGTAAATATATATATATATAAAAAAACGTAATACCCATAATAATTATAGGTTTAATTGCGTATTTTTATATTTACTGAAAATTTTGGTAAAATTGATAGGTACGCGCTGCTCCTGTGTTGTAAAATAACCATGCATTAAATTTGTAATTGGTGTTTTTGTCCTTTTCAATATTCGTATCGTTTACAGATTTTTTGAGATTGACCATTGTTCGTTTTCTTTACTCTTTTCAGACTAAGAATAAATACAGTAGCTAAACACGCGCTAAACTACAGCAAACGATATGAAGTAACTTTTTGCATTGTACATAGACTGTAAAAAGGTGGGGGTTTTTTAATAATAAACACCGAATTGAAACAGATAATAAATACTCCAACGCGTTTAAAACTGTCTTCCCACTTAGCCAACATCAAAAAAAAAAAAAAAAAAAAAAAAAAAAAAAAAAAAAAAAAGAAAGAAAGAAAAGATAAACACAAGTAAATTTTTGTTGGCTCAGTGGAGAACAAATAAATTAAATAAGAGGTAATCTAGCTATAATATAAGCAGAATAAAAATAATTAAGCTGAATAAAATATTTTGTAGCATATATATTATGAATTTAATATTTTTGTGATGACTTTCGTTTCCGGTACATTTTTTTTAAATAATACATATAATAATTACACTGTAATTTAATAGAAAAAAATATTTTTAAATCAGTTTTATTCTTATATTTCTGATTTTACTGTGCTATATCACATGTTGCAACCACTATTGAAATAACGACCACTATTGCAATAATTATTTCAATAGTGATTGAGAATACATTTCAAAACCAAACACTGGTTGTAACCACTATTGAAATAACAACCACTGTTGAAATAATTATTTCAATAGTGGTTGAGAATGCATTTCAAAACCAAACACTAGTTGTAACCACTTTTGAAATAACGACCACTATTGAAATAATTATTTCAATAGTGGTTGAAAGTGCATTTCAAAACCAAACACTAGTTGTAACCACTTTTGAAATAACGACCACCGTTGAAATAATTATTTCAATAGTGGTTGAAAGTGCATTTCAAAACCAAACACTGGTTGTTATAATGTTATAATGTTTATACTTAGTTATCCCAAATGGTTAATTTTAATGTATTGATGAGTAGAAACGTTGGATTTACTATCCATATTTGTAGTGTCGGCAAGCTCATGAATATAAGCGAAAATTTACTTCTATTTTATATCCCTTTTCATCAGAAAGTTTGTACACATAGAGTCACATAGATGTCTTCTTTCTTCTTTTTAATGTAGATATTCTAATTTGTACAACTATCTGTATTTATAATCTTTTACTTTCCCAAATTAATAGCAAAGATGATCCTTATATAACATAATTACTTAAAACTACTAGATCAGTTAAATCACAGCTTTCCGTGTATTAATAGTATTCCTGTACAGAAATTAAAACATAGAATTACATATCATATCTTATGGCTCAATAAATTTAGGTATTATATTGGAAAACATAATGAAGAAATTATCCTGATATTTTTTCTTTCAATACT